GCCAGCCCGGGCAAGAAGTCCATGAGACTGTTAATCTCCAATGAACCACCAGAAAATAAGAAGTGGTGCTGTGGCTCAAAAGTGGTAGAGCACTCGCCTTAAGCAGAAAAGCTCAGGGAGAGTACCCAGGCTCTGAGTTCAAGCCCCATGACCGACAAAATAAAAATGGAAAACACAACCACAGTGTGGATTGCTGCATCTCTTTTTCAGGACGCCATTGAGATCACCGGAACTTTTAAACATCGCAAAGTGACCCTCGTGGAGGAAGGCTTCAACCCTGCGCTCATCAAAGACCCCTTGTACTTCTTGGATGACAGAGCAAAAGACTACGTGCCAATGACGGAGGACATTTATAACGCCATCAGCACTAAAACTCTGAAACTCTGATCCTTCCCAAGAGGATAACTGAGAAATTTCCAGAAATGAAGCTGAATGGATCTAGTACAGCCACTTGACTTAATCCAACGTTAATTTAATAGAAGATTATACGGTGCCTTTTTTAAGGAAATTACATGTAAAGGGGGGGAACGAATTTTTTTTAATTACACCAGAACTTTTGTGAGCAAAGAGATTTAGAGATCATTTTTTTTTTCAATGTGCACCTTCCATTTGTATTTGCAAACTAAGCTTGTTGGGAGAGAGGGACCTTATTTTTTTAAACATGTTTAAAAAAAAATAGATGAACACCAACCCAGAAAATAGTACCATCTTTTCTTGTGCTTTGCTGACTTTATTCTAAATGCAAACTCAGTGCCACTGACTCCAAAGTCTGAGGGCCTTATTGGTAACTTGCTACAAGTCCCACTCATACTGGTAAAGGCCTGCTAAGTAAAACTGACAAGAAGGGAGGGCTGAGTAGGGTGGGATCAGTTGTCTTCCCGGCCACTTGAGAAGTAGAGGTAGGAGGATTGAAATCCGAGGCCAGCCCTGGTTGAAAATTGGGAGACCCTGTCCAGAAAAAGAATTGAAAGCAGAAAGAGACTATGGGCAACCAGTACTGGTAGTTCATACCTGTAATTCTATCTACTCAGGATACTGAGTTCTAAGGATCACTGCTCAAAGCCAGCCTGGGAAGCAAAGTCCATGAGACTCATCTCCAATGAACCACCAAAACACTGGAAGTAGAGCTGTGTCTCAAGTAGTGGTAGAGTGCTAGCCTTGAACACAAAAACTCAGGGACAGCACCCAGGCCCTGAGCTCAAGCTCCAAGACCAACACACACACACACACACACACACATACACACACAGAACAGGGGTATTGTGCATGTGGTAAAACTCCTGCCAAGCAAGCACAAGGCCTTTATTTCAAATCCCAGTATCCTCCCTCCCCACAAAAAAAGCAGTGATAGAGAAGGAGAGGCCAACAATTCCTTTCCTGCCATCTCTGTCACCTGCAACAGTTCCAAGAAGCAGGTCCTTTGTGGTACTCAAGGTGCCATGTTGTTGACCTAGAGCTTTTCCTAGGCCTTGAGTCATCATCATTGAATCTACATTTAGAAAGCAAACTCCAAGGGCTGGGAAGGTGGCTCAGTGATAGAGTGCTTGCCTTGCGTGCATGAGGCCCTGAGTTCGATTCCTCAGCAGCACAGAAAAACAGAAAAGGCTGGAAGTGGCATTGTGGCTCAAGTGGTAGAGCCGCGCCTTGAGCTGAAGAGCTGAGGGACAGCGCCCAGGCCCAGAGTTCAGGCCCCACAACTGACAAAAAAGAAAAAAGCAAACCCCAAGTTCACCTCCAGCCTCTCTTTTTTTTTTAATTTTTCTTTATTTTTCCAGCCTCTCTTAAAAGCAGAAAGGTTCCTTCCCTTGGAGTACATCCTTGGGTGACCAGAAGCTGCCAAGGAACCCCAGATCACCCTAATTTAGTCCCCAAAATACCCTAAGCAAATATACCTAGGGCTCCTCAATGATACATAATGCGGAAGGTGGTAGTTTTGTGTTTATGTGTACTGATACCGAGGCTTGAACTCAGGAACTAGGCACTGGCTCTTAGCTTTTTTGCTTTGCCACCTTGAGCCACAATTCCACTTCCAACTTTCTGGTCATTAATTGGAGATAAGAGTCCCACAGAATTTCCTGCCCAGGCTGGCTTCAAACCTCCATCCTCAGATCTCCTGAATAGCTAGAGTTACAGGCATGAGCCACTTGTAGCCAGCTTTTTCTAGTAAAGTAGAATAGAATTCTTCCCAGAACAATTTGCAAAATCCTCTCTGCCCTTGTTGATGGATCAACGGGTGACAATGTGAACCCAAGTGCTGGAAAGTAGCCCAGGCTGTGTGGTTGAAAGTTTGCAGTTGTGCAATTGTGTTGCACAAAATGCAAAGGTAAGTCAAAGAAGTGATGTCATTTGTCACGAGGGATCATGTTTTCACGTGAGCAGTCAAGCATGTAGACTGTTAGCCAGAACATCGATGATCCATCACCAGAGCCTACTGGCTCCTAACTTCCTCGGACAAGTTTTTTGTTCCTGGTTTTGTTTTGTTTTGTTTTTGGTCATTCTTGGGCCCTGAACTCTGGGCCTGGGCACTGTCCCTCAGCTCTTCAGCTCAAGGCTAGCACTCTACCACTTGAGTCACAGCACCACTTCTGGCTTTTTCTGCTTATGTGGTGTTGAGGAATCGAACCCAGGGCCTCATGTATACAAGGCAAGCGCTCTACCACTGAGCCACCTTCCCAGCCCTGCTCTGACAAGTTTAAATCATCAAAAACTCAGAAGCTCTGTCCTCATATCCCTGCCAGCTGTCCTTCCCATGTCCCAGCTCCGTTGTGAAAACCTGAGGCAGCAGTCCATTGGCAACTCCTGGATTTCTGCATGTACCAAGAAAAGTCAGTGGCTGGGAAGGTGGTAGAGTGCTTGCTTCACATGCATGAGGCCCTAGGTTCTATTCCTCAGCACTACATATAAAAAGCTGGAAGTGGTGCTGTGGCTCAAGTGGTAGAACACTAGCTTTCAGCTGAAGAACTGAGGGACAGTGCCCAGGCCCACAGTTCAAGCCCCATGACTGACAAAAGAGAGAGAGAGAGAGAGAAGTAATTCAGATGGTCTCCCTCGCTGGGCGCTGGTGGCTCACGCCTGTAATCCTAGCTACTCAGGAGGCTGAGATCTGAGGATCGAGGTTCAAAGCCAGCCCGGGCAGGAGACTCCTATCTCCAATAAACCACCAGAAAACCAGAAGTGGTGCTGTAGCTCAAGTGGTAGTGCACTCGCCTTGAGCTGAAGAACTGAGGGACAGCGCCCAGGCCCAGAGTTCAAGCCCCATGACCTACAAAAAAGGAAAAGAAAGAAAGAACAGATGGTCTCCCTGTGGCTCACTTCTGCAATCCTACTTAGTCAGGAGGCTGAGATCTGAGGAACATGGTCCAAAGCCAGCCTAGGCAGGAAAGCTCCATGACACTTATCTCCAATTAAACAGCAAAAAGTCAGAAGTGGAGCTGTGGCTCAAGTGGTAGAGCACCAGCTTGAAGGAAAAAAAAAACTCAGGGTCGGTGCTCAGACCCTGAATTCAAGTCCCATGACTGGCACCAAAAAAAAAGTAATTCATCACCTGTAAAATATAACTCTAAAGAAGGATTTTTCAAAACAAAACCAGAAATCATGGCCATAGACATATCTACACAAGTGTTCACTTGAAAGTATAGCTGGGTATAGTGGCCTATGCCTACAATCCAAGTTACTTGGGAAAAATGGAAATAAGGAAGATCATACTTCAAGGTCAACCTGGACAAAAAAGTTAGCAAGACTTCTTTGTCAACAATTAAGACAGGTAGTGTGGTTCATATCTATAATGATTTCTATCATAAGTGAGACGGTGATTAATCCCAAATACTAGAAACATCGGTAGAAGGATCACAGTGTAAGGCTAGCCTAGGGCAAATCATGAGTCTATCTGGAAAATAACCTAAAAGCAAAAAGGACTAAAGATGTTGCTCAAGTGGTAGAACTCCAGAAGCTCAAGGCCCTAAAGTCAACAACAACAAAAGCAAAATATAAAATGACTGGGCATCAGTGGCTCCCGCCTGTAACCCTAGCGATTCAAGAAGCTGGTATCTGCAGATTGAGGTTCAAAGCCAGCAGAGACATCTATGAGACTTTTATCTCCAATTATCCACCAAAAAGCCAGAAGTAAAGCTGCGGTTCCCATGACAGTATGCCACCCTTAAGTGAAAAAGCTAAGGGACAGCACTCAGGCACTAATTTCAAGCCCCAGTGTCAGCATACAATTACTAGGGCTGGGAAGGTGGCTCAGTGGTAGAGTGCTTGCCTTGCATGCATGAGGTCCTGAGTTTGATTCCTCAGCACCACATAAGCAGAAAAAGCCAGAAGTGGCACTGCGGCTCAGGTGGTAGAGTGCTAGCCTTCAGCTGAAGAGCTGAGGGACAGCATCCAGGCCCAGAGTTCAGGCCCCATGACCAAAAAACAAAAACAAAAAACAATTATTAACAAGAAAATAAATAATTTGCCTTCCTTGCTCAGATTTCATGCATCTGTAAGACTAACCAGGAGACTTTGTCTACACAGCTCACCATTGTATCTCCAGTGCCTGGAACATAATAGGCAATACTTATTTCTTACCTGCTCACCTAACAACATTGATAAACATGCAGTTGGGGTTTGTTTGTTTGTTGCTGTTGTAGCTTTTCTATTGAGGCAGAAGAACTAAGTGAACTCTCAGAATCTTTTATTTTCTTTTCTTTTTTGTGCTAGTACTAGGACTTGAACCCAGCCTTGCACTCTGGTTAAGCTTTCTCCTTCAGGGTTGTTGCTCTACCACTTGAACTACACCTTCAATTCCAGCTTTTTGCTGGTGAGTCTCACAGACTTTTCTACCCAGGTTGGCTATGAACCTCAATTCTCGGATCTCAGCCTCCTAAGCAGCTTGGATTAATAGGTTTGAGCCACATGCATTTCAACTTCCACACACACATGGGTTGATTAGTTATTCAATACTTTCAGGGATCAATCAAGTCACACCCTTGGCTTCATGGACAAGCTCACTTTATTTTGACATTCTATTTCATTTCACAAGCTGAATCACAGAAGCTGCCTGTCAGGACGTTTCCCTCCAGCTCTTTCTGTCTGATGAGGGGCTGGAACCTTCTGGATCATCCTGGCTTCCAGGCTCCATTGATATCTCCTGGTGGGTCATGAACCCACTCTGAGAATCTTTATCAAACGTAATGAATTCCTTCCCAGGGAAAATGCACACACAGAAGGGACACAAAGCTGTGCGAACCTTTGAGACACATTGTTTGGCATGTAGCGGGAGGCCAGGCGTTTAGACCATGGCTTCCAGGGCGCAGCAGGGCAGGTGCAGCCCACACTGGGAACTGCATTCAGGGAAGCTAGGGACGCTGTAGAACTTGATGAGCTTCTTGAAGGCACTCTTCTTCAGCAGCATCATCTCTTCGGGAAACCTGGAAAAGATCCTCACCCGGGAGGAGCTCCCACTCTTTCCAGAACCATCTGCAGACGGTGATTTCTGAGCATTCGTCGGCATACTGTTGCAGCTGAGAGATCGCACCGTCTTCTTCTTATTCTGCACGCTCAGATAACTGAACAGGAAGGATGACAGCTTGTGCTTGGGGACCCCCAGGTCCTCGTCTTCAAAGCAGTCATCCAGTGGGTCCAGCCAGGTATCAGGATCTTCTTTCTGCGCAGGACAGGCTCCCCCACGCTGTGGCTGCTTGATGATCTTCCTGGCCTGGGCAGGGTCATCCCCTCCCTCGTTGGCAGATGGAAGAGACATCCCATTGGCCAAGGCTTTGGGGCCCCTGATTGGAGGGATGAGGCTCCTAGCCTGCGGGATTGGTTGGGAAGTACAGTGCTGACTCAGGACGCATGTGGCTGCATCAGAGATGAGGTTCCAGTCTCTCAGGATGTCATCCTTGGTGGTAAATTGGGATGTCACAGTGAAACGGATGATCAGCTTGTCCTGGATCACGGCAGGGATGAGGAAGAGCTGGCCGGTTTTGGCTATTTCCTTCAGCACACTTTCTGTGAGACAATTAGGACCCTGTTTGGGGGATTGAAAAGAAGTAAAATTTGCATCCACCTCCTCTGGATGGATTCCCCCACAGCTCACGCATTTGGGTGGTTCAAGAGATACAACCCACCGGCAAACACTGGTGGGTGCTGGCCTTCCTGGGGCCTTCCGATGGTCTTACCTTTAGACGGAAAACCACCAGGCCCAGGTGTCTCTTGGCAGGAATTTCAAAGAAAGGGTCGTTTCTGACTAGAGATTCGAAATACTTAGCCATTTCAGTACCCTGGGGTTGTGAATACAGGAAACAACAAAAACAAAAACAGATGAATCACCAAGCAAAGGACCAACTCTTCCTAAAGGTGTACGCTTCGTGAATGGTTAAAACCATAGTTGAGTGGCTTCTGTCCTTTTCGTTTGTTTGTTTTTGGTGCCATCACTGGGGCTTGAACTCAGGCTCTGGGCACTGTCCCTTCGCTTTTCTGCTCAAGGCTAGCACTCTACCACTTGAGCCACAGCTCCACTGTCAACCTTTTTTGGTGGATAATTGGAGATCAGACTCTCCCAGGCTAAACTTCCCCAGGCTGCCTTCAAATCCAGTGCCTCTCTTGCCTGGTGAACTCGTATCTTAAAACCTCAGAACCCAAAAGCCATAAGCTTGGTGACTCAGACACACAGCCTCTTATCCTAACTCCACAGCCTCTCCACTGGCCAAGGAACAAAGGAGGCTCCAAGCTCAGCCCTCTGTTCCTTTTTCCCAGCCAGGAGCCTTACACAGGCTGTCTCTGCCTCAAAGGAAACATTGTTGCTCATGGAGATAAAGTCATGGTGGGCTTTCACAATCTTCCATATCTTAAGCTATGTTTCCCTTGCCTAGACAATCTCTCCCCATCTGGTACCTAAAATGCCCTTTCATCCCCTTCTTTCTGATATTCCACAGAGAACTTACTGCTACACATCATCTACACTACGGAAGCGCCTTTGTACCTGGTTGATAGGTACTAAAGTTTCAGCTTGGGGCAAAGCACATATTCTGAGCTGGAGGCTGGTGGCTGATACCTGTAATCCTAGCTACTCAGGAGGCTACAATCTGAAGATCTAGGTTCTGGGGCTTGAACTCAGGGCCTGGACACTGTCCCTGAGCTTCTTTTGCTCAAGGCTAGCACTCTACCACTTCAGCCACAGCACCACATCTGGCTTTTTCTGTTTATGTGGTGCTGAGGAATCGAACCCAGGGCCTCAGGCATGCAAGGCAAGCACTCTACCACTGAGCTACCTTCCCAGCCCACTGGAAAGTGATCTTGAATAATGAAATCCCAGGAGCTCCTCTATAATTGAGCCAGGCTCGGAGAGTCCCTTGAGCAGGTCTACAAAATAGAGACAAGACTTCTTCCCCATGAGAACAGAGAGCCACTCGGGCTCCACCCCGCAGTGTGCAGGCTACATACATGTCTGACGTGCGCTTGAAGATTCTTCACCCCAAAAGAGCGAATCACAAACCAGAGCTTAATAGAGCGAAACCGTCGGCTCAGAGGAATCTGCCAGTGCTGGAACCAAAGAACACAGTGCTGGGTTAGAGACAAGGCCGTTCAATTCCCTTAGGCACTCCTGGGCATTCTCTGCTGACTGTCCAGCCCTCCAGAGATGGACACTGTTGCTATAGCTCCTGAGCCGTTGCTAAGGAACAAGCCACAGCATCTTACCTAAAGGATGCTCTGCTATAAAGGTAGCCAGGACTCCCTTGACCAACAGCAGGCCAAGTAGAAAACCAAGTCTATGAATTTGAACCAATGAGAAAAGTACTTTGCTGAAATGGATGCTTCACATTTTACCCCCGCCCAGAAATTTAAGAGAGAGGCAATACATCTTTTTTATTATTATTATTATAAAGTATGGGGGGTTTTGTTTTGTTTTTTGTCGGTCATGGGGCTTGAACTCTGGGCCTGGGCACTGTCCTTCAGCTCTTCAGCTCAAGACTAGCGCTCTACCATTTGAGCCACAGCACCACTTGTGGCTTTTGCTGCTTATGTGGTGCTGAGGAATTGAACCCAGGACCTCATGCATGCAAGGCAAGCGCTCTACCACTGAGCCACCTTCCCAGCCCCGTAAAGTGTGTTTTAAGTGTCTTAAAGAGCAAAAACTAAAACTGTTTCTAGCCAGACGCTGGTGGCTCACACTTGTAAATCCTAGCTACTTCGGAGGCTGAGATTTGAGGATGACGGTTCAAGTCAGCCCAGGCAGATTACACTCAAGACACTCCTATTTACAATTAACCAGCAAAATGTGGGAAGTGAAAATGTAGCTTAAGTGGTATAGCATTAGCTGTAAGCAAAAAAAGCCAAGCAAGAGCTCAAGGCCCTTACTTCAAGTCTTGGTACCAGCACAAAAATATATAAAATAAAATTTCTATTGCCACAAAAATGTATAATTGAAAGTATGGGAGTCAACTAGGCACTGGTGAGTCATGCCTAGAATCCTAGCTACTCAGGAGGCTGAGATCTGAAGATCAAGTTTGAGTCTAGCTCAGACAGGGAAGTCCTCAAGACTCTTTATCTCCAATTAACCAGCAAAAAAGAAAAGCTGGAAGCAGAGCTGTAGCTCAAGTGGTAGAGTGCTAGCTTTGAATGGAGGGGAAAAAAAAAGCTAACCCAGGCCCTGAGTTCAAGCCCCTATATCAGCACAAAAAAGAAAAAGAAAAAATAAATTATAGTAGTCAAGAACTCAGACAATAAGCCCCTGAAAAGCTAAATTTCTCCGCTCACCCGTGCCACAAACAATAGATGTGACTTATGTCAGGAGCTGTGGCTCATGCCTGTAATCCCTAGTTACTCAGGAGGCTGAGATCTGAAGATTGCAGTTCAAAGCCAGCCCAGGCAGAAAAGTCCGTGAGACTCATATCTCCAATTAACTACCAGAAAACTGGAAGTGACAATGTGGCTCAAAGTGGTAGAGCGCTAGCCTTGAACCAAAAGAGCTCAGGGACAATACCCAGGACCTGAGTTCAAGCCCCATAACCAAAAAAGCCCCAGGACCTCAGTGGCTTATCTGTGACTCAGAACTTATCTCCCAGAGCATGGTATGGACCAAGCATAAAGGAACTCAGACAAGTTGTCCATGAGCAACTATTTGCTTTTCAGATACTAAACCATATGAGCTACAGCTCATATGACTAGCACCAAGAAGACCCTTTATTTAATCACAGGGCCTTGTCTTTTGTTCTCATCTGTTCAATTGTTTTTGGGGGTGGTAGTGGGAGTCGAATTTGGGCTTGCTAAACCAGTGTTTTACGCTATGCCCCAGCCAACATTATCCTTATTTTTCCTAATGAGATTCTTGGGACACTCAAGCCTTAATTTCAAATAATTCTCCAATTCAGTGCCTTGGTTAGACCCAAGATTGACCCTTTGTTCTGATGACCAAATACCAAATTCAACTTGAGCTTAAAGTTCAACGTTGTGGTTAACCATAGATCTGAAATTTCCCAGTTTCTCAAATATGAAAACAGAACAGAACATTTGCAGCTATTCAGATGAGTGGTTTCCAATCATTTCTCTCCTTCCAGTTGTCAGAAAGCACCTAAGAGTAAATATTTGTCCTGACAAATATTTATCTGCCCATCTACCAGATTACCAAATCCTCACTAACGTCCTCATCTTTTACTGCAGTTTTGCTGAGCCAAACACAGAAGGGATGGAGAATATTTCTGCGTTGATGGATAATATTTCTCCTGCATGAAGTTACTGATACTTTGATCAGTCACTCAGCAAAACTCTGTACAGTAAGGTCCAGCTGCCAGACTTCCACCAGCCAGCAGAGGGCGTCAAAACCTGAAAAGTAAATCCCTGGAACCAGGAATAAATAAATCTCTATTTCTTGTCTGTCCAAAGGGCACTCAAGAAAAATCCTGTTCAGAGTTGTCTCAAATGCTTTCTGTTTTGGGGCAAACTGGCAACTCTATTTCACCAGCAAATTAGCAGGAAGAGGCAGGGAGGGTGTTAATGTTGATCCCTTCGCAATCGTCTTTGCCCAGTTTTGCTTTTCTTGTCTCTGTTCTGACCCAACTATTCAAGCCTGGTCCTGGCCACTGTTGCCATTGATCAGGCAATTTGGGCTGACGCAGGCAGACATGGTTTTGTTTAATCTGAGATGCTGCCCACACTCCTCTGTGTCCTTCCAAGGCTTCATGGGAGTCCTCCACTATTTGAGCTCTTTGTACTGTTGAAGAGGAATGGGGTAGAGCGGAGGGGAGCTTGGTTGATGGCAGAGAAACTGACCCTTGATTTTAGGTGTCTGGTGAAGCCCAGAAACTAAGCTCCTGAAACTGGCCCTTTTGCTCTCAGAGCAGGGAGGGCCTACATTCTGCTTAAAACTGCTGCAAAGGGAGAGAGACAGACAGACAGACAGACAGAGACAGAGAGACAGAGAGACAGAGACAGAGAGAGAGAGAAAGCGCACTTTGGGCATGGGTCAAAGTAGCCATGAGGAACCAGGATCACAATAAAGGTGGTTCCATTGTTCTAAAAGTTTCTTCATTGACCTGAAGTATCAATCTACAGGATTAGAGATGGAAAAGGATATGTATAAAGCAGCACTTGGATACAGCAGCAAAAATGCTATGGCTTCCTCAGACCAATACTGGGTAAATTTAATGTTCTTTTTCTTTTTTTTGTAACATGATTTCACTAGGTTGTCCAACCGGCCTCACATTTGTGATCCTCCCTACCTCAGCCTCCTGAGTGCTAGGATTATGGAAATGCACCACTATGCCCAGCCCTCATTTAATGTCTTTATAGGTTACCTGAAAAATAAAACACACTGTTAAAATAATGTTCACCTGGATGAGAATGAACCACAGGGAGTTCTTGAGATGGTGTGGTAAATGCACAATCAAGTGAGCCCGAAATTCTAAATGGGCAAGGGCAAAGATAAACCCTTTAAGGTTATGAACCATTCAAATTTGTTTCTAAAAGGAAAATGGGCATCATTTCATGCTCAGGAACAAAAGTTAACCCTAAGAAATAGGTGGTGTGCTGGGAACCAGTGGCTCACACCTGTAATCCTAGTGACTCGGGAGGCTGAGATCTGAGAATCATGGTTCAAAGCCAGCCTGGGCAGGAAAATCAATGAGGCTCTTATCTCCAATAAACCACCAGAAAACCGGAAGTGGCGCTGTGGCTCAAGTGGTAGAGCACTTGCCTTGAGCTGAAAAGCTCAGGGAAAGCGCCCAGGCCCAAAGTTCAAGCCCCATCATTGACCAAAAAAAAAAAAAAAAAGGAAAGGAAAGGAAAGAAGGAAGGAAGGAAGGAAGGAAGGAAGGAAGGAAGGAAGGAAGGAAGGAGAAGAAAATAGCTGCTGTGGAATTGTTTTTAATTTTTCACTTAAAATTATTCTGAAACACCTACCAGCAAAGACAATGGAGATAAAAGAACCATTGTTCCCCAATCTTCATTGACTTCCAGAATGAATCTTAGTCAAGAGTGAGCTGGTCTAATGGGTTGATGATGGCGCTATCATCTTAGCCCTAGAAGGGCAAGCCACTTGAACAGTTGAAGGAACTAAGACAGAAATCATCTCCCCACCCAGGGTGACCCTTACAGACATCAGGTATTGCTCTCCGAGCTTCAAAGTGTGGATTTATTCAATTCTTACAGTGAGACTAAGAAGCCAGGAGAGGAAAACTAGACACAGAATATAAGTTACTTGGTTTAAGGCCACATAAGATAGTAAAGGAAGGGCTGGGAAAGTGGCTTAGTGGTAGAGGGCATTGTGAAACTATAGGTTTGATTCCTCAGTACTACATACACAGAAATGGCCCGAAGTGAGGCTGTAGCTCAAGTAAGTGGTAGAGTGCTAGCCTTGAGCAAAAGAAGCTCAGGGACAGTGCCCAGGCCCTGAGTTCAAGCCCCACGACTGGGAGTTAATGAGGGAGCATAAATTGAAAGATGGGTCTTGTCTTAGCACCTAAATGCTTGTGTGTGTGTGTGTGTGTGTGTGTGTGTGTGTGTGTACACCCCTGAACTCAGGGTCTGAGCACTGTCCCTAAGATATTTTTTGTTCAAGGCTAGGGCTGTACTACTTGAACCACTGCTCTACTTTTGGCTTTTTGGTGGTTAGTTGGAGATAAGAGTCTCACAGAGTTTAGGCGCCAGCGAGCACCCGGGAAGATGGCGGAACGCAGTCACAAGTCCGTGCTCTTCGTGTGTCTGGGTAACATTTGCCAGTCACCCCATTGCAGAAGCAGTTTTCAGAAAACCTGTGGCTGACCAACATGTTTCAGATGGTTGGAGGATGGACATGAATGAAGTGGGAAATCCCCCTGACTATGGAGGGCAGAGCTGCATGAGGAAGCGTGTCATCCTCAAAGAAGACTTCGCCACATTGGCTTACATACTGTGTATGGATGAACGCAACCTGAGAGATCTGAGTAGAAAAAGTAACCAAGTCAAAAACTGCAAAGCTAACATCGAACTGCTTGGGAGCTATGATCCACACAAACAACTCATTACTGAAGAGCCCTATTATGGAAAGGACTCTTGACTTCCAGCTGGCGTACCAGCAGTGTCTCCGGTGCTGCAGGGCCTTCCTAGAGAAGACCCACCAGGCCAGCACTGCCCACAGCCAAGCCAGCGACTCACCCCACTAATCCTGTGCGTAAGTATAGTGGTGTTCCTTAGCCCCAGCCCCTGTTGTTTCTGACTTACTGCTGACTTACTCTTTCTTCAAAATAATTGTAGGTGACAATTAGTTTTATTTACCCAAGAATAAAAAGGTTGGGTTTGAGGAAATTAGTTGACTAGTTGAACTTCTCACTTTGCTGATTACAAAACAGTGGAACAAGCAAATATAGGAGAACAAAATACAACTCAGTGAGTTAATAATGACTGAGCTCTGGAAGACCTGGACAGTTTGGTCTACCTGGCATGTTGCCTGCCTAGCAATGTAGTGCCATTGCTCCCTAGCTCTACTGATAGCAGCTCCTCTGCCTACCGGAGAAATGTTCTAGATCAGTTTACTCACAGTACACATTTACATGTTTAAGACAGAAGCAAGGCAGGGGGTACATGTAAGTCCAGCACAGGGAAGCTGGGGCAGGAAGATCGTAAGTTCAAGCCAGCCTGGGTGATAGCTTGCCTCAGGATAACAACACAAAATAAGGAAGATTGGATTGGTGAAATAACTCTTTAGCCTTTTTACTGCTTGTTGCTTTGTGTCTAGTTCAGTTCATGGGTGTAAGAGTATTTCCTCCCATTTGAGCCACTTTGCCTCCTTTAAGAATTGAATTCTATATCGGAAGTACACTTGTACGCAGGTTACCTTCGGCCAGTAGGGAGTAGGTTTTCCATACACCTGCAACTCATCAAGGGTCCAAAAGAAATGACCAGATGTGAAAAGTTTTAAAACCTGCAGAGTCTCATTACATTGGTGTGCTGTAAGGATATGTTAGTGATTACTCTTTTATCAGTACTTAGTCACGCTCAGGCCAACAGGTAACTTTGGTACGCCATCAATTAGCTCCCCTCACACCAGAAGGATATTTCAGAAAAGATTGTCTTCAAAATCAACTGTGGAGTTACATAAGGGAAAAAAAAAAAGTCTCATGCTGCCTTCTGCAAAGAGACCCCAGGGCGCCCCCTCGTGGCCACTCACCATGAAGTCAGTGGCGGCACCTGAGTTAGCATGCCTGAGGTAGACAGGGTTCACGCTGAAGGTCTGTTGCAGCTTGTACTTGTCCTTCACCCTGTGGGTTTTCCAGATGGTATATTAGTGGCTCAGGTGTCTCAAGGAAGCGAAGTGGTCCCACCTGGACGTGGCTGCTGCACTCACCAGAGGCCGGTGCAGTCAAAGTGCACCATCATCCACTTGGATGGATTGAAGGTGAAGGAGTCTGCATACTCGATGCCCTTCAGGAAGTCCCGGAACTCGGGGCACAGGAAGGCCGTGCCTGCATAAGCAGCATCGATGTGGAGCCACAGCCCCTCCCTGGCACCTGAGGAAGCAACGGTCACCTGCTTAAAGGTGTGGCATGCTGGGGAAATGGCCATCAGGATGAGCTGGATGAGCCGCGGGGGGAGGTGGGGAAGGGGGGAGTTAATCTACTGAAACTTCACCCTGGTGTTTCTCCTCTTTTTCCTCTCCCTGGCTAACCTAAAATATTCCCAGCCTCAAAACCCAACTGCCCACCGGTCCAGAAAGCAGCGTGCATGCATCTAATATGACAGACAGATGTCTGTCTGTCTGCTCTACTGGGTTTGTCACTTGGGGATGAGGCAAGGGGGTTTGGGTTTCGTGTCTGCTTCTATCTCTCAGGTTGTTTCCCCCGTGACCCCCCCAACCCACCCTCCCACCTGCCCTTCTCTTCTTCTTTTCTGAAACAGAACAGAAAACGATTTCCTTGTGCTTCATTCATCCTGTGCTTTAGATACTGCCCGCTGCTGTACGTAAATGGCCACATCCAAGTTAAGACAAAACCTTCAAATGACAAACATCTGAAATTCCTCTGCTATTGTTTGTTTTGTGCTGGTCCTGAGACATGAACTCCAGGCCTGGGTCCTGTCTCTGAGCCTTTGTGCTCAAGGCTAGAGTTCTAGCACTTGAGCCACAGCTCCACTTCCCGCATTTTTTTTTTTTTTCTGGTGGAGGTAAGAATCTCACAGAATTTCCTGCCCAGGCTGGCTTCGAACCAAGATCCTCAGACCTCAGCTTCCTGAGTAACTAAGATTACAGGCGTGAGCCACCAGCACCCAGCTAATTTGGATTTTTCATGTCCCACAAGGCTTATGTGTTAAAGGCATGATCACAGGGTGGTACTATTGGGAGGGATCCTTTAAGGGGTGGGGCCTTGTGGGAGGTCTTTAGATCATGGCAGAAGGCATTGAAGAGGATGGAATGACCCTAATGTTCTCCTCTCTCCGTGATAAAGGGAGTGGTTGTATTTCACCACAGGTTCCCTCCATGATATACTGCTTTTCTACAAGCTCCAAAGTGACAGTCCACTGAAACCTCCAAATTAAAAGCCAACATAAACCTTGATTCTTCACAAGCTCATGATCTCAGGTATTAGTTATAGTGATGGGAAGCTGACGGACACGGGCTTTCCCTATGGCCTTCTGGGAGACAATGCAGAACACCGTAGTTCTAGATCATGCTATACCACTGGTAAAAGTCCTGTGACCTGAGCTGCCCGGAAGAGGCCCTGGTAACCTTTGAGGATTCTTCCCATATCTCTGAATTGACTGAAAAGGTGAGGAAAAATAATCCTACTGAGCTAGTTTCAGGTTCTTGTATTAAGAAACATTTCAAAATATATCTCTTGTCATTGTAGCCAGATACTTACAGATGGGGCCCAGTTCGGACAGGCAGTCAAATGCACAGACCCCGGTGGTCCCTAGTGTTGCACAAACCTGCAGGGAAATAAAGCAATGAGCATGGGAACACTGCCTCATGGAAACACTGGGCCCAAAAGAAATGACTTTGCCACCAGTGGCTCATATCTGTAATCCTAGCTACTCAGGAGGCTGAGATCTGAGGATCATGGTTTGAACCCAGCCTAGGCAGGGAAGTCCATGAGACTCTTATCTCCAATTAACCACCAGAAAACCGGAAGTGGCGCTGTGGCTCAAGTGGTAGAGCGCTAGCCTTGAGCTGAAGAGCTCAGGGACAGCGCCCAGGCCCAGAGTTCAAGCCCTACAACCGACAAAACAAAACAAAAATGACTTTGCCACAATCATTACCTATCACAGACATCGGTAAAACTTTATTTTACCATCACCCATGATAATAAATACATTTTAGATCACAACCTAGTCCACACACACACACACACACACACACACACACACACACGTGTATATGTATGTATGTGTTTGAAATAAAAGTGTGGTTATATGAATGAACTTCAATTCTTTCTATTCCATTTCTTTTTAGTGCTGGATATAAACCACAAATTTTATTTCATAACGTAGCAAGGAATAGCAACTAAGTCATAAAACAGCCAATTTGCCAGTGGCTCCCACCTGTAATCCTAGCTACTCAAGAGGCTGAGGTCTGAGGATCAAGGTTCAAAGCCAGCCCAGGCAGGAAAGACCATGAGACTCTTATCTCCAATTAATCACCAAAAAGCCACAAGTGGAGCTGTGGCTCAAGTGGTACAGTGTCAGCCTTGAGTGAAAAAGCTAAGGGATAGCTTTTTTTTTTTACCTTTTTGACTTTTTTGACCAGTACCAAGAGAAAGGAAAAAGAAAGGAAGAAAGAAAGGACTCATAGCCGGGCACCAGTGACTCACACCTGTCATCCTAGCTGCTTAGGAGGGTGAGATCCAAGGATCCCAGTTCAAAGCCATCTGGGTCAAGAAGGTCTACGAGACTCTTTTGTGTGTGTGTGTGTGTGTGTGTGTCAGTCGTGGGGCTTGAACTCTGGGCTTGGGCACTATCCCTGTGCTCTTCAGCTCAAGGCGAGCGCTCTACCACTTGAACCACAGCGCCACTTCTGGTTTTCTAGTGGTTTATTGGAGATAAGAGTCTCACAGACTTTCCTGCCTGGGCTGGCTTTGAACCGCAATCCTCAGATCTCAGGCTTCTGAGTAGCTAGTATGACAGGTGGGAGCCACTGGCAAGTTGGCTGTTTTGTGACTTATAAGTTGCTATTCCTTGCTATGTTATGGCGCCTGGCATCTATGAACTCTTATCTCCAATTAACCAGTAGAAAACTGGAAGTAGAGTTGTGGCTTGAGTGGAAGGGGGTTCAAGCCCCATGACCAACCCAAAAAAAAAAAAAAAAAGGAAGCTCATAAAACATTATATTTAAGAATCTTTCCGTCTCTGTTTGCAGCATGGTACTTACCGGGGCTCTTCCAAAATCCCTTGCTCCCAGCCAGGTTCTATCATTGTCATTTCAGAGACATGTATTGACTTACAAAGACAGGCACCAAGCCCCGCTGTTTGTCTTCCTCCAGGGCTTTCTGCAGTACTTCCCCTCGGAGCGAGAAGTTATCATCCACAGGCAGAAATTTCACCTTCACCAGGGAAATCAAACCAGCCTTCTCTACTGAGGAATGAGCCTAAAAGGGAGCCATGCAAAGCTGTTAGCCAAGCATCATCCTGGACAGCCAAGACAGGACCGGCTTTACATCTATCATCTCAGCTCCTGGGTAGCCTAGGTAAAAAAAAAAAAAAAAATAGCCAGGGACTGGTGGCTCATACCTGTAATCCCAGCTACTCAGAAAGCTGAGGATTGCCGTTCAAAACCGGAGCAGGCAGGAAAAGTCCATAAGACTCTAATCTCTAGTAAGCCACCAGAAAACCAGAAGTGGTACTATGGCTCAAGTGGTAGAATGCTAACCATGAGCTGACAGTGCCCAGGCCAAGAGTTCAAGCCCCATAAACAACCAAAAAAAAAAAAAATCTGAGACTCTATCTCAACAAATAAACTGGGTGCACACATCTGTAATCCCAGATGTGTAAATAGCAGGATCATGGTCCAAAGCTGGCCCCAGGCCAACAAAGCAAGAGCCAATCTGAAAAATAACAGAAATAAAAAGGGCTGGAAACCCCAATGCCTAGCAAGCATGAGATCCTGAGCTCAAAAACCTCAGTACAGTATTAAAAAACCAGCCAGGGAATGTGGTTTAGTGGTAGAGTGTTTGCCTAGCACCACGAAGCCATGGGTTCAATTCCTCAATATGACATAAATGGAAAAGGCCAGAAGTGGCATTGTGGCTCAAGTGGTAGAGTGCTAACCATGAGCAAAAGAAGCTCAAGGACAGTGCCCAGGTCCTGAGTTCAAGCCCCAGGACTGGGAAAGAAAGAAAGAAAGAAAGAGAAAGAAGAAAGGAGGGAGGGAGGGAGGGAGGGAGGGAGGGAAGGAAGGAAGGAAGGAAGGAAGGAAGGAAGGAAGGAAGGAAGGAAGGAAGGAAGGAAGGAAGGAGAAAGAAAGAAAGCGGTGGGGGATGGAGGAAGGGGGAGGAATGGAGGGAGGGAGGGAGGGAAGAAGGAAGGAAGGAAGAAAGAAAGAAAGAAAGAGAAGTCATCCAGAAATGAACTCACCCAGAAATAGTTGGAAAAATGAGAGGAAGGGAATCAAAAACAAACATTTAAAAATTGGCTATCAGTGAGGGAAAGGTGACATTGTCCAAAAAGAAATGTACTCTTTACCTAACTTCATAACTGTAATCCCTCTGTACATCACCTTTATCATAACAATTTTAAAAACTTTTTTTTTTTTGGTCCGGTTGTGGGCCTGAACTCTGGGCCTGGGCACTGTCCCTCAGCTCTTCAGCTCAAGGCGAGCGCTCTACCCCTTGAGCCACAGCGCCACTTCCGGCTTTTTTCTTTTTACTTATGTGGTGCTGAGGAATGGAACCCAGGGCCTCATGCATGCAAGGCAAGCGCTCTACCACTGAGCCACCTTCCCAGCCCTAAAAGACTTTTAATAAACTAAAATAAAAATTGGTTTGCACTTTAGTTCCTAGAGTCCAACTTCCAGGCCTGAGCCGCCCTGAACCCCTGTCCGATGTCAAAATACTCACCTGATCCGAGGCATAGGCAACAAGACGGGCATTCAGAGAAGACTCGTCAGCATCCGGCTCAGAAGATTTCATTTCTAGGATTTTGTTCTTCCTCGCTGCCAGCAAAGCGACCAAAGTAGACTCACTGACTGTGCTCTGTGGGATTACCAGGGATTACCAAATGGGATTACCAATGGTGGCCTTTCTATATCCTCCTCCAAATCCCCTGGCTTCGATAGTGTGTGTGTGTGTGTGTGTGTGTGTGTGTGTGTGTGTGTGTGTGTGTGTGTGTGAAGGAAACACAGAAATTCTCTCCTAAAAGTTCCTCTTGAAAGGTGCTATATATACATATATATATATAGGTGCTAATATATATATATATGTATATATATATATATATATATATATATATATATTTCTAGCTACTCAAGAGGAGGCTGAGACTTGATAATTGAGGTTCAAAGCCAGCTCAGGGAAGAAAAAAAAAATCTATGAGACTCTTATCTATAATTAACCACCAAAAGGCCATAAGTAGAATGAGGTTCAAGTGGTAGCATGCTATCTATGAGCAAAAAAAAAAAAGCCAAGCAAAGAAGAGAGGCCCTGAGTTCAAATCCTAGTAGTGACACAAAGAAAGAGGGAAAGAAGTCAAAGGAGGAGTGGGGCAGAGGTCCAAGCTCTGACAATGGTAGGGATGGGATTGACCATCCCCGCTGGGGACAGGGTTGGCTTTTCTTCCATTGCTTAGCCCTTGTATGAGATGGAAGTTTGTCACCAAAGACACCTGCAGGACGCCTCCCCCCTGGCTCCCAGGATGGTGGTGCAGGAAGTGATCTGGGAGTCCTAGCATCTTCGCCAGCCAGTCCATCACGTTCATCTCCAGCTCCGTGCAGGCAGGACTGGAAGCCTGGGACAGGGAAAGGAATGTCATCTGCACAGTCGCCATGGTACCAACGGGTCCCCACCTGCCTCAGAAGCACAGGGGTCCGTCCCCACCCTTGCCTGGCCAAGATGGTACCAGTGGGAACGTCCATAGAGAAGCGGTCAATGTCAGCCCAGAGCCTACTTCTATCCACCCCCTGCCAAAGAGGCCAGGAAGGAAAAGAATGTTGCCCTCAATGAAGTGGATTCTCCAGGGTTCTATGGCAAAACAACCCTACAGATGATTTGGTTCTCAAGTCTGTAAAATACCCTACTGAGCCAGGCACTGGTGGCTCACACCTGTCATCCTAGCTACTCAGGAGGCTGACATTTGAGGATTGTGGTTCGAAGCCAGCCGGGGTAAGAAATTCTGTGAGCTATGTGGATGAAGTGGTAGAGCTCCACGCTTGAGTGTATGCGTGAAAAAGCTAAGGGACAGTGCCCTGGTCCTGAGTTCAAGCCCCAATACCAGCACTAAATAAAAACAAACAAATACATGCCACCTGCGGAGCACTCTAAAGCTCCAGGGGCTGTTTTCACTATGAAAAGGAGTCTGGTGCTCTTTCCTGGAAAAAGATGGTTAACACTCCGCTCACTCTCCCCTACCCAGCCATGCATCTACCCTATGAAAAGTTCCCCTTTGAAATGCAAAGTAGTTCTGGGAGGTTTGGGGGCACAATTTAATGTCGGGTAGAGCTCAGGAATTGTCATGGGTAATCTTAGGACAGATCTTCACACACACACACACACACACACACACACACTCACTCACACACACACACACAGTGGCAAGCCCACAGGGGAAGTTGTGGCCCAGAGCCCTCTGTATGTACAGTTAAGGTCACAAACTGTAGCAATAGCTACATCTCAGACCAAATCTCATCTGTCTTTATAAACTCTGTGATCTCAGAGAGATAAGTTACTTATGCCTCAATTTCCTACAGAATCTACAGAATGGGGCCATTTGATTCTATAGGACTAAAGGATTAAATAAGATCACTTGTATTAAAGAGAACGCTTAAAGAATATTGCCTTTATTCATATTTTAAACATATATTTTTTTTTACATTTTCAACTGACACGCCTTATTTATATTTAGCTAGATTGGGCACCAGTGGCTCACACCTATAATCTTAGCTGCTCAGGAGGCTGAGATCAGAGGATAGTGGCTCAAAGTCAGCCTGGGCAGGAAAATACCTAAGACTCTTAGGTAAGAGTATAATAGACTTTTCTAGAAAACCACACAGACATTCAGGTGCAAAGAACAAAGAAAAGGTTTATTGCTGGTAAAGGGACCGGCAAGACCCCTTCCCACAAGAGAGGAGTGAGAGGAAGTGCCGGCTATTGTCTGAAGGGACCTACCTAACCTACTGAGGCTAGGAGGGGCTTAGAAGGGCCTTGGAGGCTGAGGCCCTGGTGTGGATGCCAGGACCAAGGGCTTCATTATGGCAGACTAGGGTATATGGCTGCTGCCCAAGTAGTAGATAAGGGGTCCTGCAGCTGCAGGTCACTCTAAGGGGCTCTTGCTACCTTAAATGGAGGTAGTTGCCCCAAAGAAGTGCCATTTCAAGGAAAAAGAGGGGAGGATTGGAGGCTGATTATTTACTGCTTTTACTAAATGGGCCTAGTGTTGCCTAGGAAAGGAGCATGCTAAGCTGTGGAAAGGGGAAGGAACACGCTAAGCCAGCGGAAGGGAGTTTATTACGCTCTTATCTCTAATTAAGCTCCAGAAAACCGGAAGTGGTTCTGTGGTTCAAAGTGGCAGAGCGCTTAGCCTTGAGCAAAAGAGCCCAGGCCCTGAGCTCTGACCAAATTAATTAATTAATGTAATTAAGTTAAAATAAAAATCTAGGGTTCTTGTTCCTTGTTTCCAGAGATCAGGACAAAATAATGACCTCCCCTAGGATGCCACTCCATGCTGTGTCCCCCCCCCCCGCCCCCGCCAGCAGTTAGAGCTGTAGTAGATACTCACCCAGGTGAAGCCCAGGCAGTTGATGGCATCCGCCAGCATATCTCCCAGCAGCGATGGCCAAGAGGTAAGCGCTGGGTAGTAAGCGTGCATATGAGGACTCTGCCAATGAACCACCTGGGGGCAGAACATGCATACAATTGGCAACGGTGGCCAGGTGTTCAGGTTCCTCTATTGATCCTCCTTGGTAAGGGGAAGCCACTCTAGAGATGGCCTAACACTTTTTTTTTTCTTTTTGCCAGTCCTGGGGCTTGAATGTACAGCCTGGGTACTGTTCGTAAGCTTCTCTGGGCTCAAGGCTAGCACTCTACCCCTGGAGCCACAGCACCACTTTTTTGACTCTGTTTTGAATAGTTTATGAGAGAGAAGAGTCTCACAAGGATTGTTCTACCCCGGCTGGCTTCAAATGAGATCCCTCAGATCTCAGCCTCCCGGGTAGCTAGGATGACAGGCATGAGCCACCCTCACCCGGCCCAACACTTTTCTTTTTGTTGGTCATGGGACTTGAACTCAGGGCCTGGGTGCTGTCTCTGAGAGTTTTTTTTGCTCAAGGCTAGCAGTCTACCACTTTGAGCCACACAGCGCCACTTCTGGTTTTCTGGTGGCTCATTGGAGATAAGAGTCTTACAGACTTTCCTGCCTGGGCTGGCTTTGAACTGCAATCTTCAGATCTCAGCCTCCTGAGTAGCTAGGATGGCAGGCATAAGCCAACAGTGCCTGGTGGCCCAACACTTTTAAGATAGATGAATGAGCATAATGTTGGTGGCTCACACCTGTCATCCTAGCTGCACAGGAGGCTGAGATCTGAGGATCATGGTTTGAAGCCAACCCAGACAGGAGAGTCCAAAGGATAGCACCTAGACCCTGAGTTCAAGCCCTAATACTAGCATGCATGCATGCACACATGCACGCACGCACACACACATGCACACACAAAGGTAAAAGGAGTCTGTCTATTCTTAAGAGTAGGAGGCAGCAGGCAGGGAGAAAAAAAGAAGCCACCCAGTTTCCAGTGATCCATTGGCCAAAAATGAGAGCCCAAAGGGAACTAAGGTAAACAAAATGAAGCACTCAGCAGCGTAAGAGGAGCGATGATAGTGCTAAAAGGCCAGGGCAGAGGTTGTGATGATGCTGGGAAACCATAGGACAAACTGCTAGACAAACTCACAAAGCCCCTAAGAACAGGAGGTAGTTTGTGAGCAGATGATTCTATTCTGAGTGGTGGACCTAGCGCCTACATTTTTTTTTTTTTTTTGCTGACAACCAGATATTTAGCTTCTGTATTCGACTTCTGTATTTTGCTTGGCTTACAAAACATAGCAGAGTTGGAAAGACTCCATTGGCATGGCACCCCCTTTCCCCATTTGGGGGTATAAAAAGCCCCTGTTTGTTGCAAGCTGGGGTCCCCAGATTGCATGGGCCATTTGGAAATGTGTAGCTTGGGAATCTGGGGATCTTTGTGCACAAGAGCATATGTAAGTGAACAGGTTCAAGATAGAAACTCAGCATGCTGCAACAAAAAGAAAAAAATGGAGAAGGTAAGGTTTAAAACTTCAAAACTGTTGTAAAATTTGGATATTACCAAAAATCGTAGAGAATTGCTGCATTGTTTTAAAGAAATTTTTTGGTTAAAAAAGGGTTTTTTTTAAGGATTTTTAATTTAAAAATTAGAAAATCTGGTATTTTCATGAATAAGGCTGTTTATACTGTAATTAAGTAATCTGGTTTAATAAAAAGGCATTGGAAACTTGAAACTTATTTCCTTCTACTGCTAAAATTTGGGGCTAACGTGTTAATAATTTGGTTATAAGGGTTTGTTCATCACATTGCCCATTCTGCCTATTTGGAACTGCTTTGGATTTTATCTCAGTTAGAGATCAAGAGGTAAGGACGGAAAAAAACCCACATAAACCCTGTGCATCTATTTTCAGGGATAAGGAGTGATCTGGCAAAAGGTGCAGCTCAGCCAGACCACATGGTGGTTCAGGCCCTGTGAGGAGTCCACGCACAATGGTAAAGGATAAGATCGCACAAAGACAGTTCATCTAACCCTGGAAGTCAGATGGGGATATACTCATTTTGTAGGGTGGGTAAATGGAGGCCTATCTTCATCCTGTCTCTTTTCTCTTTGCAGATGGACACTGAAAACCTGATGATAGAAATGTAAATGATGTAATTGGTATTTTTAAAAAGGCCCCTTGGGATGTATTAAAATTAAAAAGCTTAAAAGAAGGTTAAAGATTTAAAAAAGTTTATCTGGGGCTGGGAAGATGGCTCAGTGGTAGAGTGCTTGCTTTGCATACATGAGGCCCTGGGTTTGATTCCTCAGCACCACATAAAGCAGAAAAGGCCAGAAGTGGTGCTGTGGCTCAAGTGGTAGAGCACAAGCCTTGAGCTGAAGAGCTGAGGGACAGTGCCCAGGCCCCCAGTTCAGGCCCAAGACCTACAAAAAAAAAAAAGTTTATCTGTATAATATGATTTGATTTTAATGCTATTTTGCAATTGAATGTATTCTTTTCTAAAAAAGGCAAAAGGTGTTAACTCTGGATTTTTGGTACAGTGCTAGTGCCTGTAATTTTTGCATTAAAAATTGTCATTTGAGTTTAAAGGTTCTTTAAGGGTTAAACTCAGACTGCAAAAAATGGCTACTTTAAATCAAGTGGCCAAGAGGAAATGGGCTGTACCTAGTGCCCCGTGTTTCAAAGTTTCGTTTTTTTTTTTAAATACAAATAAAAGTGGAAGCTAAAATGTAAAGTGTTAAAGCAAAAGTTAGTAAAAGTTTTTTTTTTAATCAGGAATGAGTTTCTGGATATAAAATTTAAAGTAGAAAAATTAGAGCTACCAAAATGATTGTTTAATTGCTATCCCAGTTTTCTTTGCAGTTTTTTTTTTCTTTTTTTTTTGTAATAATTGCAGACAGGCCCACAGAAAAGAATGGGAAATTCTTAGAATTTGTCAGATGTAGCTTTGGCTCTTAATAAGTTCCATGTAAGACCATGCTTAAAAGACTACCTCCAGTGACTATCTTTGTTGGTTTTTTTTTTTTTTTTTGGTCCGGTCGTGGGGCCTGAACTCTGGGCCTGGGCGCTGTCCCTCAGCTCTTCAGCTCAAGGCTAGCGCTCTACCACTTGAGTCACAGCACCACTTCCATCTTTTTTCTTTTTGCTTATGTGGGGCTGAGGAATCAAACCCAGGGCCGCATGCATGCAAGGCAAGCGCTCTACCACTGAGCCACCTTCCCAGCCCCTCTTTGTTGCTTTTAATTGGAGTAAAGTGGCCTTTTGTAAGACTCACTGATCTGAAAACTGTGGTTCAAAGCCAGCCCAGGCAGAGAAAGGTCCCTGTGAGACTGTCCTCTCTAATTGGCCAGCAGAGTGCTGGAAAAGCAGGCAGAGTTGCTTTGATGCTACAAGTAGCAAAGTGCTAGCCTTGAGTTGGAGAGCCAAGTGACAGTGCACAGGCCCTGAGTTCAAGTCCAGTGACTGACCAACGGAAATGCCAAGAGGGCATTTATCCCAATGTAGAGGAGACACTCCTGAGAAAAAAGTGATTGAGCGTCCAGAGGCAATTAAAGCCACTGCTTGGATGGCAGAAGTGGTGTCAGATCCAAGAATCACTTGTGTGTTGGCCCTTCAAAAATCGATCAGGGGCTGGGAAGTTGGCTCAGTGGTAGAGCGCTTGCCTTGCATGCATGAGGCCCTGGGTTCGATTCCTCAGCACCACATAAGCAAAAAGAAAAAAGCCGGAAGTGGCGCTGTGGCTCAAGTGGTAGAGCGCTAGCCTTGAGCTGAAGAGCTGAGGGATAGCGCTCAAGCCCAGAGTTCAGGCTCCACGACTGGACCCAAAAAAAAAAAAAACAAAAATCGATCAGAACCTCAGAGCAGGGAGGTGATAGGAAGATAGCTTGTAAGCATGCCTTTCTAATGCCCATGTTTGTCTACTTCATAATTGGGCAGGAACTTGCCATTCATCTGTGATAATGGGTAATAAAAAGGCTAAAGTTGGGGCTAGGAAGGTGGCTCAGTAATAGAGTGCTTGCCTTGAATGCATGAGGCCCTGGGTTCGATTCCTCAGCACCACATAAGCAAAAAGAAAAAAGCCAGAAGTGGTGCTGTGGCTCAAGTGGTAGAGTGCTAGCCTTGAGCTGAAGAGCTGAGGGACAGTGCCCAGGCTGAGTTCAGACTCCACGACTGGACCCAAAAAAATAAAAAATAAAAATAAATAAAAAGCTAAAGTTATCAAATGGGGAAAGTTTATAATCCCAACCCCCCTGTATCCTGCTCAAAGCCCTAATTGGCAGTGAATTTTGGACTGGCATCATCCACATAAATTCATTTGTTCAGGAAAGGAAAAGTTCTGTGGACCTGCGATTGTGTCCCTATTGAAATCTGTTTTAAGGCCTACACTGGTAACTTGGGCATTGTTAGGGTCACTAGAGATTAAGTTCCTCAGCCAGCCAGAAAAATGTTTTTGCAAACCAGAATGCTAAGCAAGCTATACTGTTGTAGGCCAAGAAAATGTCTGTGCAGTTAAATGTTGTATATAATTTCCAGTGTGGAGTAAAATCTGCTTGTAATGACATCTGATTCTTGCGATCTCTAAAATTATAGGTTCCTGGCTAGACAGGGTCATCACCCCTGAGTCAGCTTGAAGAAGTTACAGAAGATGGATCTTTGCTCATTAACCTCCTTTAAGATCAAGGGACCAGAGTCTTTTTTTTTTAATGAAGCAGGATAAATTTTTTTTAAAAAAGGAATGGAAAACAGTGGCAACAAGTATACAAGTGTAAAGACCTCACCTGTGAGAGATGGCTACAGGTCAAGCCTTCTATGTCTACCTAAACATCCTAGTTTTATTTTATTTTAAAATATCTGGTTAATTGTTACCCTGGTAAATTGCCCCAGGCCACTGCCTAGAACTGTCTTTAAAATCAGTGGGACCTCAGCCTGCCAAGCCTATGTAATGTATTCTTAACCAGTCTACATAGAAATTTGCAGCCCAGTACAAAGTGTGACAATCTGTTGAAGTCGTGGAGAGACCCTGCTGCTGCTGCTACAGTCCACCGTTTTGGGTAAAGTCCAATGACAGCCTGACAGTCATCTGAAGGGAAATCTACATTGTCATCCTGAACACCTCCACCAAGTGGACAGGACTCCTGCCTGACTCCATCACCCATGACTGCTTCTGCTTCCTGGTGGAAGGTTGCTTTGGATCTGCTAAAACTAAGATTTGTGTGGGACATTCTCTCTACTCCCACAGCTGGACAGGTTCCAGGCTGCCCCCACTGGCATGTCAAATGCTACCTACCTAACCAACCTTCTTACTTCTCTGAGTTAACTGGACCCCTGGCTCTATGGATTAGAGGGAAAAAATGGACCTAGTCTCCCTCACATCATGGAGGAACCAGAGCCACAAGACACAGAGGATATTGAGAGCAGGGACACCCCTCGGTTGGCCTTGGGCACTTTGAGGCACAGACTAAACAAATAATATCCTCAAGATAGTCATGGTCTTGATTGGCTCCAGTATGGTAATAATCTGCTTCTTTCTGATAGGTTTAGGAGTAGCAGCCCCAGCAGACTGGCCCCTGTCTCAAGGATGTGAGTGAACTTGACATATCATATCCTTTCTATCTCCTACCTTTTCCTGTGTTTCCTACAAGGCATCTTCCTCCAATGGCTGTAAATTCTTTGCTATTCTCTTTAAACGGTTATGTTTAAGTTTTGTTTAGTATTGCCTTCTTTTTTGGTCAGTCATGGGGCTTGAACTCTGAGCCTGGGAGCTGTCCCTCAGCTTTTCAGTTCAAGGCAAGCACTCTACCACTTGAGCTACTGTGCCACTTCCAGTTTTCTGAGTGGTTTATTGGAGATAAGCGTCTTAAGGTCTTTTTCCTGCCCAGGCTGGCTTTGAACCATGATCCTTAGATCTCAGCCTCCTGAGTAGCTAGGATTACAGGTGTGATCCACCAGTGCCCAGCTTGCCTATTCTTACCATGTGGTTATATTTGCTTTTTGACTGCAATTGTTAGTAATAAGACCCAGCCTTGCAGGATCTAACAAACTTCTCTGTTTCTGTAACCTGCTGGGTAGAATCACAGTTAATCACTTTGAGGTGGTTGTAAAGATAACCAATGGGTTGGACAAATGTGTTGCTTCTGATTGTAATGCTCATAGGAAAGGGAGGCACTCTTTATGTAATACTGAGTATGCTTCCCCAGGTGTTCCTTTACAGTAAAAACTTGAGGGGTTGCTGCCCAGACAATAGAGAATAATGCAAGACTTAATACCCCTCCTGGTGACTGCAGAAATACTGGGATCTGCTGTCATTAAAGCATCTGTGCTTTCATGAGGAATAAGCATTTAAAAATAAAAGTGAACAGGCAGGTGAATCTGGACCTCAGGCATATAGCAGTCTTAAACACCAGGTAGACGCACTGGCAAAAGTAGTATTACAGAACAGAATGGGGCTAGACCTTGTATTCATAAAGTAGGGAGAGCTCTATATGGCCCTAAATGAGAAATACTATCTCGATACAAACCATTCTGAAATGTTTTATAAAAGTTTGGCTTTAGACAAGAGTAACTTTTAAAAAAAAGTGGAAATAGGCACTTCCAAACAGTAAAGGTGGGTGTCAATAGTACTTCTCAGGGTCCCCCTGGGTATGACCCTGGTTTCAGCCATCACAGGACCACTAGTGACTCTACTGCTTGCCTTTACTGTTGGGCCCTGTATCCTTAATGCTTTTGTAAGTTACATAAAAAGGAAACTAGAGGCTTTAAAACTACTAGTTGTTTAGGGCTGGGAAGGTGGCTCAGTGGTAGAGCGCTTGCCTTGCATGCCTGAGGCCCTGGGTTCGATTCCTTAGCACCACATAAGCAAAAAGAAAAAAGCCGGAAGTGGCGCTGTGGCTCAAGTGGTAGAGCGCTAGCCTTGAGCTGAAGAGCTGAAGGATAGTGCCCAGGCCCAGAGTTCAGGCCCCACTACCAGACCCCAAAAAAACCACCAACAACAAAAACTACTAGTTGTTTAGACAGACCCAAGACAGGATATATCCACCTGCTTCAGGAAGAGAAAGGAGAGGAAGAGTCCATGATTCCATTCTGTACTTGAAAACATAGGGGAATGAACTAAGGTATCAGGAGGCATGTAGCAGCATAAGAAGAGCCATGATAGTGCTAAAAAGCCAGGGCAGGGGTGGCGATGATACTGGAAAGCCATGGCAAGAAACTGCTAGCCAAACTCACACACACACAAAAAAAAAAACCTAAAAAGAAGAACTTAGAACAGGAGGTAGTTTGTGGGCAGCTGATTTTATGCTGAGTGGTAGGCCTGGCACCTACTTATTTAATTATTTTTGCTGAGAACCAGCTATTTAGCTTCTGTATTCTGCTTCTGTATATCACTTGGCTCGCAAAACAGAAGAGTTGAAAAGATTCCATTTGTGTGACACACACACACACACACACCTGCCCATATTGGAGTAGTAAAAACCCCAGTTGGTTGCTATCAGGGGCTGCTTCTGAGTTCCCGATACCTAGGAGTAGTCCCAGCGGGTTATAATTGGCTATTGACAAATTTCCTTTTACTAATAAATTTCCTTATCATCAAGGTTCATTTTTTGAGTGGGTGGTCTGTATCCTAGGATCTTTTCAACTCATTACAAAAGGGCCAACTGCAATTAGGCCAAGCCTGGGAGCTGACATGGAGATCGGCCACTTCATTTCCAGTACTTTACAAACCTCAGAGAAGGGGCTTCACCCTATCAAGAGACAAGGATCTGTTCTTACAAGATAAAGCAGATGAGATAAACCAGCTGGGCCTTTATCAAAACAGGCAGACCTTTTAGTCTAGAAATGAGCCTTCTTGGCCAGCATCCTCCCTAGCTCCCCCCTGCATCTCCCCCCTCACCCCACAACCTCTACCCCACCCCAGCAACTGCTAGGATCCCTTCATCAACTGAATCAGCTCCTTTCTGCCTCTCCTGACGGTTGGTGCCCAGTGTCCCTCCAGATTACAGTTAGCACTGTCAGTAGATTACACTTTATGACATTTTCAAAAAGATGCTTGTGAAAGAGGCCCCATGTTCAAGGAGAAATGAATATTTGGTTTTTGTCCACTTGTGCCCTCAGTCTTTCTCTTTTTTTTTTTTTTCTGCCCTCATTTTGACATTTTTCTCATCCCTGCTTCTAGGCATCATTCTGCTACATCTTCAATCTAAAGTTGTGGAAGTGGGAGATGAGGAACGCCTCTCATCAGCCTTAGGAAGACACACGAGTCAGGTGTGCAGCAGGGAGAGTTGGGGGAACAGCGTACGTATGCAGGGTGGTGTTGGAGCTCAATTTGGGGGTGCTCCGTCACTCCCCCACAGAGTTAACAGAAGTTGGGGAGTAAAAACCAAGCATTCGGGGACAATACTGGCCTCCTCCAAAATCCTGTACTAATTGTATGACTTTTGAGCAAGACAATTAAGTTCGCTGGGCCTCGGTTTCCTCGTCTGTCAAACAAAGATCACGATGAGACACGAATGAGTATGTGCAGTCGGAAGGAAATTGGGATGCTGTTCCTCACCCATGGTGGTCCAGGAAGTCAGCCCAGCCCAGCATGGAAGATTCCAGCTGGAATCTCAGTGTCAGCCAGCTTCCACTGGTCCCTGGCCGCACCAACCATAGCTCAGGTTGCATCCCCCGCCCTCCCCCATCACCACGATTCCCATCAACTCCAGCAAAATCCTTTCCTGTCCTTGAAATGCAACTCAGACATCAGACTGCTCAGGCAAGAAGGACACAGGGGTTTCCTCACAGAGAAAGGAGGGGCTGGTGGAGTCCTCCTAACATGACTCAGTGTGCCTGGAGCGGGAAACGTGTGTATGCGCTACCTCCTTCTACCCCTCTCCAACACTGAGGAGGAGACTCTCTGGCTCTGCTTTTCTCCAGCCTCCTTTCTCCAGCCTCCATTCTCCAGCCTCACTCCACACTTGTCCTTTCCTCTCAAAACCCTATCTCCAGTCCTTGCTCAACTCCATTAGATGCCCACAGGTCTGTGGGTCGCAGCCTTTGCTCCCCTAGCTTCCCACCCAACACTTCAGTCTAGCTGAAGCGTTGTCAGGCTACCTCTGACATCAGAAACTTACTTCCAGCCAAAGTTCTGCCCCTCCACCTACCCTGAGTTGGGGTTAGATATGGGGAGGGGTGGGGGGGGGCGAATAAAGATGTGTTACTACCTCGGGCTGAACTCAAAGACAGGCCTTGCTTCAGTACCACCCAACCCTGTGTACCCCTAAATCTAGAATCACCCCCTCAGCGATTGTATCTTACTCCAGGCATGATGATTCGTTCGATGTCCCCGAAGATACTGTCCCAGCTGTCAGGGTCCTCTGGAGCTCTGTCCGGCAGCTGAGCACGCAGGTAGCCGGGCTGTACATCCGGGGTCACTCGCCTCTCTCGCACGCTGCTGAGGTACTGGCAGATGTAATCCACCATCTCCCTTCCTAGAAGACAGTAGAAATATCAGGGTCGTGTCTCCCGATTAGGCCTGGCCTACTCATGCCTGTTCATCTTGAGTCAGGCTCAAGAGACTTAGTGAAGGCAGAGATGCACTTTCCTGGCGAGGAGGAGATCAGATACCCCAGCACAACCTTGTCTCTTGTTGGCAGAATTTTTTTAAAAAGATGGGGAAAGAAGAATGAAGGGGACAGATGAAGGATAGAGAGAATGTGTGGGAGGAAGCAAGCACATGAACAAGAAAGGAAATGTCCAAAGCACAGAACTTGAATACCGAATTCTAATACCTCATTCTTCTCAGACCAAATTCTTCTTCTTCCCCTATGAACGGTCCTGCCTTTCCTCAGAAACAGAACAGCTATTAACTCACTACTCTTTGGTTCAACAGAAATTCAGTACCTCTTTTTATCCAAAAGTTCTTACACACACACACACACACACAAACACAGAGTTTCTTTCCCTCTCTGTGTTTATGTATGCATGTGTTTCTGTCAATACCTGTAGCCTTTGTGTTTCCCCACACTCCCTGAAAAACAAAAATAAAAAACTTCACAGGTGCAAACAATAAATCCATTTTTTTTTTGTCAGTCCTGGGGCTTGAACTCTGAGCCTGGGCACTGTCCCTCAGCTCTTCAGCTCAAGACCAGCTCTACCAGTTGAGCCACAGCACCATTTGCAGTTTTCTGGTGGTTAACTAGAGATAAGTGTCTCAAGGACTTTCCTGCCTGGGCTGGCTTTGAACTATGGTCCTCAGATCTCAGGCTCCTGAGTAGCTAGGATTACAGGTGTGAGCCACCAGCACCGGGCAGTAAATCCACTTTTGCAGCCCAGAACTCATTGTTGACTATGAGTTTTTGTAGGCACATGATTCGTGCAATAGTTGGCAATGGTGGGGGTTTGTTAACACATACAGATTGGCTCTGGAGAATAAAACTGATGGGCAAGCTAATTTATCTTCTGAGAAGTAAAAGCATTCCAGTTTTCAGGTGAAAACACAAAGATGGCTTTTTCAAGGATTCTATTTTGAGAACACGAGGTCTGGAGTTCAAGGTATTTTTTTTGACTGTGAGCAGATCACGTTGACAGTATTCAAATGTCCCAGAGTTCTGTTCTACTCCTCACTGCAACATAGGAATTACACTGCTGCCACCTTTTTCATGTGTAAGTGGTCAGCAGTTGAGAATCAGGCAGTTGGACTTCATCTTAAAAGTGATTTGCTTGAAGAAATGACATTTTCAAAGATCTTGGATGTGGGACTTTGGAGTTGTCAACAGTATTTCTACAACAGTGATCAAAGAAGCCCGAATATAAAATTTGTGGAAGGGGCACTAGAGATTGAACTCTGGACCTGGTGCTTTTGCTACTTGAGTTCTGGCTTTTGGTTAGTCAGTTGGACAGAGCAATCCTTAGATCTCAGCCTCCTGAGCAGTGCAGTGTGGCTTGAATTGTTTCTTTCAAAAAGGGCTATCCTGGATTTCACTTTGATGGGCAATGAAGGAATCACAACACGTGAAAATTATTAAGTAAAAACTTATTGTCTTCAAACATAAAAAGAAAAGAAGAGCTGGGGGCTTGGTTCAAGTGGTAGAGCTCTAGCCAAGCAAGCACAAGGTCCTGAGTTCAAACCCCAGTAAAAACAGCTAACAAAGGAATCTGATTTCTTCCCTCTGTATCTGCCCCTGCCAAAATCTTATGGACAGCACCAACTCCAAACAAAACTAGATTGCTGGGAGCCAGAGATACTAGAGCATTCTTTCTGCTCTGCTCTAACTGCCTCTCCCCCCCCTCCCCCCCCCCCCCAGATTGGGGCAGTGGGACTCCATGTGACATCTGGATTCTCTGGGCTTACCTTCCCTTTGTCTAAAGACAGGATTGATTGAATTTGTGATGCCCTCAAAGAAACCTGCTCTCTGCTACGTGTGCCTTAGGAAAGCGACAGAATAAGGGAATGCACAGCGATCTATGAAAACTGGTAACATTTAAAGAGGTTTGGGGTTTTTTTTGGGGGGGAGGGAGTTGGGTTTTAACAGTGACAACATCTTACAGCAAAGGAAATTTAGGCAATTTGACCTAGTAGTGGAGATGAAGATATAAAAAATGGTCAAGACTGAATGCTAAATGAAAGAGCATCCATCACCAGCTTCTTACCTAGAGAAATAAATGTTAAGACAGAGACTTCTGCACTGTTTTTTTTTTCTATTTCAAAGGATGCATGAATGATCCTTAAAAAAACATTGTTCTCTCCATTTACTGGGTCAGGAATGTCAAACCCTTTCTTTACCTTGTGGGAAAATAAGAGAGAAAAAGGAATACAGGGACTTGCAGCTCCGTGCGAAAGTGGGTAGGTAACAGGTTGCGAAACTAACTCTCAAAGGGCAATGTGAACCCCCCCAAGCAAAATGACGCCCCAGTCTCTCACCTCTCTTCCTGTAGTCCTCTGGTTCCATCATCTCCTTTCTTTTCTGGCTCCTTCTCACAGACAGATGGACACACGGAAGATGGAAAGGCAAGAAAGTACAGCTTCTGCTCAGCTGCTCTGGGCACTCCCTGGAAAACATGGTGGGCCCCCTTATTTAACAGTTTACCCCCGCCTCCTTTCCTCTATTTTAGCTCCACCCTGCAATGTCCCTCCCCCTAAACTTCAGTCTAATTCTTCTTTCCTTATTGGGAACAGCAGTGAAATTTGGTCAAGAGACCCAGGAGTGAATTCAATTGAGCAGTTATCAAATCAAACCTGCACAGAGCCTCCTGCAGGTGAATGCAGGAAGAGAGCCTTTCAAGTTCTTCAAGTTCTCTGGATTGAAACAAAGAGAGGAAGAAAGGAAAAAGGGAAGGATGGAAAGAAAAGTGAATAGTGGCTGACAGTGGAAACAAGAAGGAACATGGGACCAGGGAAAAGAAGAGGTCTTCATAATATTCTGCTCCTTCCATAAAAGCACTGAAACTAAGAAGGCAAATTTAAGATTTATTAAATGTGGGTGCTATGTAGCTAGATGTGTGTCATTCCCTAGGTTCCTCTGTACGTTTGGAAATTTTCATTAAAGCAAAACAAAACTAAGTATTTTTTTTCTTTAAAAAAAAGATAATAAATACAATTAATACTGTTTCAGTGTGTGATAACCAAAGACCCTATGATACAGCGTAGGAAGTGTGCAATTGCTCTGACAGAACAAGGATTTGCTCTTCCTTCCTTCCCTTCCTCCTCTCTCTCTTCCTCTCTCCCTTCCTTCCTCTCTTCTTCCCTCTTTCCTTTCTTCCTCCCTCCCCTTCTTTCCCTACCTCCTTCCTTCCTCCTCACCCCTCCTTTTTTGTTTATACAGTCTCACTCAAGTGTGGGTTTCTGGTTTGTCTTAGGTTTTTTGGTGCTGGTCCAAGGGTACCTGGGTACTGTCCCTAAGTTTTTTTTTTGCTCAAGGCTAGCATTCTACCACTTGAGCCGCAGCTCTACTTCTGGCTTTTTTGGTGATTAACTGGAGATAAGAGCCTCATAGACCTCCCAGTCAGTCTGGGCTGGCTTTGAACAGTGATCGCCAGATCTCAGCTTCCAGAATAGCTAGGATTACAGGTATGAATGACAGTGCCCTACAAAGGTATAGCCCAGGCTGGTCTCAAACTTGTGATCCTCCTGTCTCATCCTCTTTTTTAATACCAGCATGTGTCACCACAGCCAGCTTGTGTTTTTTTGTTGTTGTTTGTTAATATGTATTTTCCTATGAAGTAAAAAAAAAAATTCAATTTAGACTTCATTTTTATATTTTAAAGGTTATGGTAAATATAGACTCGTCATAGCAAAACAAAAATGAATGCTTTCCTGAATTTAAAAAAATATAAAAATTGCTGAGCGCCGGTGGCTCAGGCCTGTAATCCTAACTACTCAGGAGGCTGAGAACTAAGGATCACAGTTCAAAGCCAGCCCAGGCAGGTCCTTGAGATTCTTATCTCCAATTAACACCAGAAAACTGAAAAGCTGCGCTGTGGTTCAAGTGGTAGAGTGCTAGCCTTGAGCCGAAGAGCTCAGGGGCAGCGCCTGGGTCCAGAGTTCAAGCCCCACAACCAACCAGAAAGAAAGAAAGAAAGAAAGAAAGAAGGAAAGAAAGAAAGAAGGAAAGGAAGGAAGGAAAGGAAGGAAGGAAGGAAGGAAGGAAGGAAGGAAAGGAAGGAAGGAAGGAAGGAAGGAAGGAAGGAAGGAAGGAAGGAAGGAAGGAAGGAAGGAAGGAATTGCAAGCAAGCAAGCAAGCAAGCATAGTGATTAGAATGTCAGAAACTAGATCAAGATTTTCCCAGAAAGCAAATAGTTGTTGGGGGAGGGGAGTGAGTGACTTATAATATTGATCTAAAAATGAAGAGCCCTGAAAATTGTATCCCAATTATAACTGAAGTGAGTTTTTTGTTTGTTTTTAAAGGAAACTCAAGGAATCAAAGTGTCAGATGCTATCTTGTACCTGTGCACATACATCCATTTGGGATATGTAGTTTCCAAAATCACAAAGAACATCTGGAACCGGAAGCACATCCCAGTGAGAATGGTCCATTTTCTATTGGTTTACACAGAGCAATCTGAGACTGAATATTGTTGATTGGAGAGCTGACGTCATCAGGACTCATGTACCATCGGGGAAAGCAAACAGCAAAGCCCACTTCAAACTACAGTAGACTACTTATCTATAATGAGACGCAAGCAGGGTAAATATTAGTTAGTGAAATGACAAGTCCATTCCTAAGTTGATCGGACACATTGGAAGGATTATTTATTCAATGGTTACCAGTTGAACAGAAATGGCTTTTCCATTTGCTATATAAACCTAAGTACTAATGCTTTGGGAAGCCACACAGATGGACAGCAAGGTTCCTTGCACTGATTTGTAATTTTTATTTGAAAAGTTTCTTTCTTGCTGTATTTTTACTTTTGGGTCAAGTTGGGAGGTTTGCACAGTACACTAAAGCACAAATCTATGGATTTTTATCAGGAAAAAAAGAACTTTGTTTAGGGCAATATAGAACAAAACAGGCCTGTCAGAAAGAAGCACCTGTAACTATTTCTGTCAATGTCTCCATTTGTTACGGGTAGGGCTTAAAAAAAAAGCCAAGCCTGGGACTGGGAAGGTGGCTCAGTGGTAGAGCCCTTGCCTTGCATGCCTGAGGCCCTGGGTTCGATTCCCCAGCACCACATAAGCAAAAAGAAAAAAGCCAGAAGTGGCTCTGTGGCTCAAGTGGTAGAGCGCTAGCCTTGAACTGAAGAGCTGAGCGACAGCACCCAGGCCTAGAGTTCAGGTCCCACAACCGGACCCAAGAAAAAAAAAAAAAAAAGATTAAAAAAAAGCCAATCCTCGGGCTTGAACTCTGGGCCTGGGCACTGTCCCTGAGCTTGTTTTGCTCAAGGCTAGCACTCTACCACTTAAGCCACAGAACTACTTCTGGCTTTTTTGGAATAGTTGATTAGAGAAAGTCTCACATACTTTCCTGCCTGGATTTGGCTTTGAACTGTGATCCTCGGATCTTAGCTTCCTGAGTAGCTACGATTACAGGCATGAAACACCAGTGCCTATCTATAGAGTGTTTTTGTTTTGTGCTGGTACTGGGGCTTGAACTCAGGGCCTGGATGCTGTCCAGCTTTTGTGCTCAAGGATCTAGCAGTTGAGCCACAGCTTTTTGGTGATTAACTGGAGGTAAGTCTCATAGACATTCCTGCCTGGGTTCAAACCTTGATACTCAAGATCTCAGCCTCCTGAGAAGGTAGGATTACAGGGGCGAGCCACCAACACCTAGGCAAGAGTTCTTAAATTAATCCTCAAATCTGGTGTAAGTAAAGCTTCTAAGAAGCAACTAAGATTAAGCTGATCATTCCCTTTCCTATATTAACAACAGTGTGGATAACCCCAGTGAAAGAACTAACAAATCCCAAGAAATTACTCTTAGAATTTTAGAATTGTAATATAAACAACACACAATAGTTCACCTGGAAAAATACAAATTAAATAGAGTTGTAACTTTTCTTCCTCCCCTCAATTTCCACCCCCCCATACCTTTTTTTTTTTTTTTAGTACTAGAGATTGAACCCAGAGGGTCTAAGCCTCCAGCTTTATTTTTTGGCCAGTCCTGGGGCTTGAATTCAGGGCCTGGGTGCTGTTCCTTCTTTTGTTCAATGCCAGCGCTCTACCACTTGAACCATAATGCTACTTTCAGCCTTTTCTGAGTTTTATTGGAGATAAGAATCTTATGGACTTTCCTGCTTGGGCTGGCTTGGAACCACCATCTTCAGATCTCAGCCTCTTGAGTAGCCAGGATTACAGGTGTGAGCCACCAGCGACCAGCTGAAAAGTTTAATGTGTGGAGGAAAATGTAATCAAATCAGAAGTCTACACTGAACATATGTGGAAAAGATATTTAATTGTAAAATAGAAAAGTAGGCCAGAATACAGTTTTAAGGGCAATTGCTTCTTTATACAGCATAGGTAATCTAGAGGGGTTTTAGGGTTAAACATTTTTCATAAAGCAATAACACATTAAAAAATAAAGCAAGAAAAAAAGAGGGGGCTTGAAGGTATGTGTTACAAAAAAAAAAAATGAACAGTCAATCCGTTTCAGGTCCATATAGTGTGGAATTCTAGAACTTTCTGAGATCAAGTCCCACATTGAGCTGTGACAGGGAAAGAGGGAGATTTATCTCTAACACCACTGTGGTACAAAAAGGTTTTTGTTCTACATACAAAACCAAACATTTTTTTTCCATAAGAATAATTTCCTGGAGGGAGGGGTGGGAAGAAGGGAGATATGTCCATGAAATATATTTTAGAAATCCATATGCATTGAGTTTTGCAAAAGCATTATTTTAAAATCCAGTGCCTTAAAGTGCTTTCATGTGGAAACCATGATGAAGGCACAGAATACAGGTTCACGTCCCCACAATGAAATTTAAAAAAAAAAAAAAAAAGCATAGCCTTTTTTTTTTTCTTTGCAATTTGCAAATTCAAGTTTACGTGGTAAGCCGCTCCTTCTGAAGAACATTGTCATTCCAATAAAACCAGCTGCTAGCTTACTTACTTTCAATGACCTCTAGACTAAAAGGATATTTTTTTCTTCCGGAAATTTGCATCATCTTTGTGGGAAAAAAAATACTTATGCATGGGATGCATTTTGAAATGATAAAACGTGCAGAATATGTACAAACAGAAAAAAGCTTAAAAAATATTTGCTTCATATACATGTCAATCTACTTGGGCATAGCTGAAATTGAACAGATATAAAAAAAAATCTTGCTTTCTAAAAAAAAAAAAAATGTTTTCAGAAAATCTGAGACAACTTGAAGTTGTACAGAGATTTCCTGGGAAAAGTTTTCTCTTCATATAGAAGTTTAAACCTACAAAAGTATTACCAGCATCGGTCCACCATAATTATATAACATTTGGTCTAATCAACAACGATCACCCTTAAAACTGTTCTGCTTCTGAGAAATTAAGGTTTTTGTACTAAATTCAAAAAGAATTCACAATAACAGTGACTTATTGTGGTTTTTGGATCTCTTAAACAATCTTTATCAACTCATTTGAAACTGTAAAAAAAAAAACCAACAAAAACTATTTACAGAATTCAGTTTTAAATACATTTCACAAGTTCTCGAGTCAAGTTTTATGTTACAAGAATTCAGAGCTCATGGCTTAAGTCCAATTATCAATAATCTGTAGTCTCTGTTCGCCTGGGTTTCCATGACTCTACCCTTAGAGGGCGCAGTTCCAGATCGCATTCTTGACCAAAAAGTAAAACCGAACTACATGTTCATTTCTACTAGACAGCTTCTTTATTTGTCTGAAGACGGGTCATAGCTTCTAGTTTCTGTCTGTAGGCCTCTGCTTCCTGCTCTTTTTTAAGAAGTTGCTGCCGATACTTCTGTGCTTCTCGATTGGCTTCATCCAGCTGTTTCTGAAGAGCTTCTCTCTCCTAATTAAAAAGAAAAAAAAAAAGTTTTACTTTTTGCCCAAATACATTAACATACCTACAAGCACGTGCCCTTCAAATAAATAAAACAATCTGCCTTTCCAACCAGTAATTACACTCATTTGTACTTCACACTAGGAAATATCAATTGCTTTTTACTCTCAAGGGGATTATTTTGTAATTAGAAATAAGAGTAACAGAAGACACACACATCGGGAACTTCTACTTATATATATCCTATAAAAACTAGAGAAGAGTTTGAAAAGAAAAGATACAACCATACCTCTTTATGTCTCTACAGGAGATGCTTTCATCTAAAGGTATCAATTAAGAAATTGCATTTACACAAATAAAAAAATAAAAAATAAAAGAAATTGCATTTACTAGCCGGGCGATGGTGGCTCACGCTTGAAATCCTAGCTACTCAGGAGGCTGAGATCTGAGGATCGCGGTTCAAAGCCAGCCCAGGCAGGAAAGTCTGCGAGACTCCCATCTCCAATAAACAACCAGAAAACAGGAAGTGGCGCTGTGGCTCAAGTGGTACAGTGTGCGCCTTGAGCTGAAGAGCTCAGGGACAGGGCCCAGGCCCAGAGTTCAAGCCTTACAATGACCAAAAGAAAAAAAGAAAAGAAAAAACAAAATAGCATTTACTGGGTACTCATTATATGACAAAACATGGTGTCTTCTACAAACATGCCTCTTAAATATGAAGCCCATGTTGCAGCTGAGAAAAACGGCACTCAGAGATGAGGTAGCTTTCCCAAAGCTGCACTGTGAGGAATTGGATTCATGTACCTCTACTACTAATTGATTTTTCCTTTCCTTTTCTTTTCTAGTACTAGGGCTTAACTGAGCTTCCTCCCCTGGCCCTCAAGGCTAGAATTCTACCACTTAAGCCATGTCTTCACTTAATTTTTTATTTTGTTTTGCTTTGCTTTGTTTTTACTTCTTCTAGTTAATTGGAGATGAGGTCTCCAGGACTTTCTGGCCTAAATTGACCAGATCCTCATATCTCTGCCTACAGAGTATCTAGGATTACAGTCATGTACCACATTGCCCAGCCCTATTTTTTTTGGGGGGTAGAGGGGGCTCCTTTCAATCCAGGCAGCACTCAACCACTTGAGCCATGCTGCTACTTCGGGATTTTTCTGTGACTAATTGGAGATAAAGGTCTCACAGACCTCCCTGCCTGGACTGGCTTTGAACTGCAATCCTCAGATCTCAGCCTTCCATTGAATAGCTAGGATTACAGGTATGAGCCACTTAGTGCCCAGCTCCTAATATTCATTTTAAAACTATCTTCCTCTACAATAGTAAGCAAGATACCTCACATCTAAGATTAAGAGTGATGGTCTAGGGCTGGGAAGTTGGCTCAGTGGTAGAGCGCTTGCCTTGCATGCCTGAGGCCCTGGGTTAGATTCCTCAGCACCACATAAGCAAAAAGAGAAAAATGCCGGAAGTGGCACTGTGGCTCAAGTGGTAGAGCGCTAGCTTTGAGCTGAAGAGCTGAGGGACAGCGCTCAGGCCCAGAGTTCAGGCCCCACGACCGGACCCAAAAAAAAGAGTGATGGTCTAAAATAGTGTTCCCTAAGTCATACCATTAAACAGACCAATAAAATATTACTCTGTAAACTGAAGGGCAGGTGGCCCCGGCCTGTAATCCTAGCTACTGGAAGTGAAGCTGTGGCTTCCATACAACTTGGAGCAAAAAAAAAAAAAAAAAGCTCAGATAAAGAGTAAGCCTTGAATTCAAGCCCCAGGACACAAAACAAAAGACTGCTTATCTCCCAATTTAAGCAACGCCTACCCCTACCCAGATGCCTCAGGAACAACCCTGCCCCTCTTCTCACTACAATTCCGAGAAAGGTGACTGGTGACTGGCAGAAAGACCACAAGCCTCAGGTAAGCAGAGCTTGTTGAACACCAATGGGTAAGGAGAAAGGATGGAAGGCAGTTTCCCTACCAGCCAGAGTGCTCTCAGCCTTGCATATTTTTAAAGTTCACTTGTGTTGGGTTATGCAAGGTGGTTCATGCCTGTAATTCCAGCTATCTGGAAGACAGAGATCTGAAGCCAGCCTGGATCAAAAGGTTAGTCAGATTCTATCACGGCAAAGGAGCAATGTAGGCTCCCACCTGGAACCGCAGTTACAACTAAGAATAGGTAAAATGATTATGGCCCCAAAAACCCTGGGCAAAAAAATGGTTTTAAATGAAAAATAACCTGAAGCAAAAAAAAAAAAAAAAAAAAGAAAAAGGCCAGGACTGTAGTGGTAGAGTGTCTGCATAGCAAGCCAAACCCCAGTACTGCCAAAAAAAACCAGACTATACTGTAATATAAAGGGAATAATAGTCCCTTTTGCCTACTAGGCCAATAAAAGATGCACATACAACATATTTTTGGCTTTATCTAGAAAAATCTGAATGACTGAAGTTCTTTGGAGGGCTGGGAACGTGGCTTAGTGGTAAAGTGCTTGCCTAGCATGCATGAGGCCCTGGATTCCATTCTCAGTACCACATTTAAAAAAGAAGCCGGAAGTAGTACTATGGTTCAAGTAGTAGCATGCCAGCCTTGAGCAAAACAAGCTCAGGGACAGCACCCAGGCCCAGAGTTTATTCCCAGGACTGGGGGGGTGGGGTGGAGGTGGGGGGGGCGGGGAGAATCACTGGGCTATCCTTTGTGCACACTAAAAGCATGATTGAAGAACACAAAAATTTTAAGTCTTCATTTTTTATTTATATCTCAGTAATTCAGGTTTAGGGAAGAGATCTGCCAGGTCATTTTTAAAGCAAACAAAAACCCTGAAAAGTAGAAAACATTACTTATTTTACTTAGAAAGCCTTTGTTACTTTTTGTCAAATGTTTACTGACATACATTTACATACAAGACAGTTCTTTAATGGAACAGGAATTTGGCTGTTTTTTTTTTTTGTTGGTGGTGGTGGTTGTAGGGATTGAACTCTGGGCTTGGAGGCTGTCCCTGTGCTCTTCAGCTCAAGGCGAGCACTCTACCACTTGAGCCACAGTGCCATTTCTGGTTTTCTAGTGGTTAATTGGAGGTAAGAGTCTCACGGGCTTTCCTGAAAGGGCTGGCTTTGAACCATGATTCTCAGATCTCATCCTCCTGAGTAGCTAGGATTACAGGCCCGAGCCACCAGCGTCTGGCTGGTTTAGCTTTTTTTTTTTGGCAGAGCTATGGATCGAACTCAGGGTCTTACACTTGCCAGAAAAGTGCTCTTTCAACCACTGAGCTAAATCCCCTGTCTCTGGTTATCTTTTTTTTTTTTTTTTGGGTCCGGTCGTGGGGCCTGAACTCTGGGCCTAGGCACTGTCCCTCAGCTCTTCAGCTCAAGGCTAGCACTCTACCACTTGAGCCACAGCGCCACTTCCGGCTTTTTTCTTTTTGCTTATGTGGTGCTGAGGAATCGAACCCAGGTCCTCATGCATGCAAGGCAAGCGCTCTACCACTGAGCCACCTTCCCAGCCCGTCTCTGGTTATCTTAAATGGTGCTTTAGAGAGCACTTATCTGGGACAATTTTATCATTTTAAGATATTCAAATCTGTATTTTGTGTTAACTATTATAGTGATTTATCTTCTACCATATTTAATGAGCATTTACTCTAGGCCCTCCATTGTACCAAACCTCAAGCGTATCCTCATTTAATCCTTGCAACAATTTTGTATTATAAGTACTATTATTTCTCCTTTTTTTTAATTGATGGGGAAGTTTGAATAGCTTGAACAGAATCATACAATCAAAATTTATAAAATACACTCTAAATTTGGTTCCAATCTCATATTCTGTGTGTATGCAAACGCATGTGCACGCGTGCGCATGCACGCCAGTATTGGAGCTAGAGCAGAGGGGCTTAAGCCCTCACTTGACTCTTGTTCACAGCTGGCATTCCATGACTTGTACCATTCCTCCACTTCTGGTTTTTTTGCTAGTTAGTTGGAAATCTCAGCTTTTGTCTGGCTGGGCTGGCTTCAAACCAGAATCCGCAGATGTCAGTCTCCTGAGTAGCTAGGATGACAAGTGTGACAGCCACACATCCAGCTCTAAATGTATTTTAAATTTAACTTTTTGTTTTGCTTTTTAAAAAGTAGGCCGGGTATGTGAACCATTTCCTTGTATGTAAACTTCAGTTTTCTTTCTTTGTGGTACTAGGGTTGCCTTGCTAGGCAAAGGCTCTACTTAGCACCATGGAGCTAGGCTCCCAGCCCAATTTTTCTAACCACTCTGGGTCAAATATGATAAATATCATCTTATTTTTTAAAAATAAAGCACTCTTGAAATACAGCCCCACCCAGGCCTTTCCAACCTGTACAAAGGCTGCTTTCTGGTTTGTAAAGTCAGAACTATTTCTATCTGGCTTTCTGTACAAAAATTGTTACTTAAGAAATAGTATTGTATAAATGTTTAAACTCTGGTAGATCAAGAAGAAAGAGATTAATAAAAGGCAGAGATTAAAAGGGTGCCAAATAAAACATTGTAAAAAGTTTACAGAGATTTATTTATTTGTTCATTTCTTTGGGCTTTTTGAGACAGGGTCTTGCTATGTAGCCCAGGCTGGCCTGGAAATCATGTGTCTTCCTGTTTCAACTTCCCAAGTGCTGGTATTACAGGTGTGCACCTCTTCGCCCGGCCTAGAAGTCAATTTTTGAAACAACACTAAGGATCTCAATGCATTCTTGGTTAAAGAACACAAATATTTCATTAAAAATATATAAACATGGCTGGGGGGAGGGGGTAGTTCAGTAGCAGAGTGCTTGCTTGCCTGCATTCATGGAACCCTGTGTTTGATCCCAAGCACCTCACACACACACACAAACACAAAAGTCTACTTAAAAAAAAAAAAAGCTGGACACAGGTGGCTCATGCTTGGTAATCCTAGCTAAGCAGGAGGCTGAGATCTGAGGATTACAGTTTAAAGCCAGCCTGGGCAGGAAAGTCCAGGAGACTCTTATCTCCACTAAACCATCAGAAAACCAGAAGTGGTGCTGTGGTTCAAGTGGTAGAACACTAGCCTTGAGCTGAAGTGCTTAGGGGCAGCACCCAGGCCCAAAGTTAAAGTCCTACAACACACACACACACACACACAAATACAATCTCAAAAAACCCAATAAAATATACTAAAAACATCTCTGTCACTACCTCCACAACTAAGAAAATGTATTTCATAAACAGGGACAATCTATTCCTTATAAGGTACTCATTCATTACATTTCTCCGTCAAACATGCAGAAAGATTAAGTTCAATTTGGAATAGGACAATGCTACATATTTATGGAAGAAGTCTATGAATAGTATACTTCCTCCAAAAAAAGACTTCCATACAGTACTATCAAAACGTGAGAGACTACAAGTTAGTCTTACTCAGATCTTCCCCACCAAATGCACTTGATTTCCTGCACTGTCAATACCGCTGATGAAATTTGTAATGTATTATCTCCAATTTAATTTTTCCCTATCATGGCAAAACTTTTCCAAAGGTGACTTGGAAAACTCTAAAATATAAATAAATACATAGCATCTCCTCACTGGTAGTCAGTCACTCTGGTAATGGGTAACAGGGACCCAAGAGAGAAAAGCCACATGCTAAGTTATATCTCGTGAGCTAGTTTTCCATTACTTTTGGACCATATAAACGTCTAATGCTATCTTGGGCATTGCAGGAGGTCATCCAGCCTCTTCCTACTCAATGCCAGTGGGTCACCCCTAGCCATGACAACTAAAAATACCTCTACATACAGGCAAATGGCCTTAAGATCAAAACTGTCCCAGCTGTAGATTGCTGCTGTACAGAAAATTTAGCAGTATACGAGTTTGCCCCCAAGGTAACATTGGTCATCTGCGAAGACACATTCAAAAGCATGGGTTCATGTATAGGAAAATGATTACCTGGTTTGATGTACATATTGGAGGTCATCTCTTCATCCTGTAATTCCAGCCTGCCCCTACCATATACACTCACTGTGTCAAAGTCTCTGCAGTAGCCCTAAAAGGTCATGTGACTTTGACTTGAGAATTTCCATGATTTCCATGACCAGAAAGTCTACTGAAAACCAAATCACACTAACAAAACCCACTGCTCTTTATCTCAAGCTAAATGCCATCTCCTACAGTTCCTCCCCCATGGTCCTAGGCAATTATGTTTTTCTCAGTTCCTCCTTTCTTATTTGTAACTATTCTTCTTAATCTCTGAAAGACTCTAAAAGAGGACTCAGTCAGAACTTGGGAAGAAACAGCAATTTTCACGGATTATTAGTCAATAAAGGCACAGGCTACACACTCATTGTTTAAAATACGTAACTTTTCAACGGAATAAGCTTACATTTAATAAACATTCAAGAATTTTAAAATGCTTTATTACATAGTAAAGCAATTTTTTAACCCTATCTGCCTGAAAAAGATCATCTGACAAATCAGAAACAAAGAGTATTATTAAATAAGTATAGTGACACTGTTCATGAAATGAATTGTTAAGTTTATAATATACATCATTTTAAGTTTGGAAAAAAGAAAAAGAAAACCCACACTCAATAACTAAAGTTGTAATTTTACCAAACATTTTAGTTAAACTATTAGTCACAGGTTTTGTTTGGTTTTTGTGCTTTTAGTCAGGGTGTTTGCATGTAGCTCAGGCTAGCCTTAAACCAGCTTTCCACCTGCCATAGCTTCCCCCAAGTGATGGGATTGCAGGCACTTAGGGTCTTTACTAGCTGAGCAGATTCTTAACTCAATAGTGTTATTATTTGTGATTAGGGCCAAAGATGTGCTAATCTGATACTTAAATGAGAAAGATATACTCTAATTATCTTTTAACCTTTAAGTCTTTTAGTGACTTAAAAATTTTTCTATGATAAGCAGAGCCTTCATAAATATTCAGTAGATTTATTACATATATCATGTACTATGATCATATGTATAATACATATGTGGAATTCTCATGAACCGGGAACATACTACTCTAAATTATCCAATACTGGAGAAAAACAAAAGTGAGACTCAGAAAGGTAAGGTAACCGGCGTCAAAGTGGACAGGTCAAGATGTGATATCTAAACCCAGCTTATTTGGTTTTAGGTTCCATGATGACATAGCATTTGCTCTTCTAAATTTACTCAGCAGTGATTATTTTCATTTGATACAAAATTATAAACTCGGAATATAAAGTTATAGTCATATAAGTAAAAAAAAAAAAAGAGAGAGAGAAAGAACACCTGTGAAGCAACTATGGTGTGATTATAACACAAGTTAGTTTGAGACAAAGGATAAAAGTCAAATCCTACCATACCTGTAAGTTAAGTTCCTTAAAGGATTAAATAATTATCTATTGCTTTTAAAAACATGAGGGTCTGAGAAGCATCAGTCTTCTTTAAGAAGACCCTCAGCTCAATTAGGTATCTGCAGTGCATTTTTGAAAGGAAAATCATATATCGTAGTATTTCCCTTTAGTGCTTTGTGAAAATGGTATGTACAGAAAGTTGAACAGAAAATCAAGGGTGGAGTAAAAGGACCAAAGACAAACAGTGTTACTAGGATGACAGACTGTTACAAACAAATTCTTCACTCATGCATTCATTCATTCAATATTTATTTATTGAGGGCTTGCTATATGTAGAAGGCAAAAAAAAAAATAAACAAAATGATAATACTATGTACTTTCATTCTGCATGAGAACACTGTCAGTAATAAATATAAATGACAAAAAAATAATAAAGAAAAATTAATGGAATTTATTTTGGATGACTGCGGCAAAACACACCGGGTAAAAGACTCCTTACTTCTATTTCTGCGGACTCCACCCGGTTTTCAATTATTTCGATACACTGTCTCTTAGCTGGCGGCTCTTCGCTTATGACAGTTTCTTCAGCGATGTCAGTGGCTGGTACTGTCAGCACTAAAATGAAAAGGTGTACCCATTAATTCATTCTCAGGCAGGCTTGGTAGAGATAGACACGCCTTGACATTGGCAATGCTACTCATCTAAATAAGTACAGTCCAAAAATAATTAAAACACCAACGTTTTATGCTGACGTCCTTTTCTTCTTCACTTTCTGGTCTTACTGAAATCCATTTGCTAAAGTATTTATTTAGGTTTATACATAATACATTCATTCACATGGATCAAAAGGGAAAACAGAATTTGACAGGCTTATTCAGGAGGTCTCATGCCTACCCAAGCTAACACAGATAATAGCTTATATGAATTTCTTATCTATTATTCTTATATTAGTTTGTGTGAAGACAAATGTGCATATACATTCATTCAGATATACACGTTCCCTTGTTCTTCATTGGCTTTTTTCACTCCCTATGATTTCCTATATTCATACAGAGAGCTTTCCTATACCTGCATAATATTCCTTCGTGTGGATAGAACATCAGAAAAAGCCCTTTGTAAACATACTACTGGACTATGGTCTTCGTGTCAGTGGTTTTGTAGCTCTTTCTATAAATGTGAACATACAGAAAAGCTGTTCTCATACAGCAGCATAGGACCATGTTAAATAGTAAACTAGGAAAATCCATTGTCTGCTGAGTTTTTTTGTTATCAAATTTTTTTTTTAAAAAAAAAACCTGTCAGTTAAAATTGTAAACAGAAATGAAAACAATAGTAAAACCAATGCCAATTAAGTGCAATGTAATTTAAAGCATTAAAGATCTGGAGTATGAAGTGGTTTATTTCTTTTTATTCATAATACACTTACAATTAACTCAGAAAGAACTGAGAAATTCTATTTTTTTCACTGAACTGTCTGCATACTGCATATATTCATATTAGCTATGCAGTTTTAAACTTTGGAGGGTTTTGTTGTTTTGTTTTGGGCAGTCCTGGGGCTTGAACTCTGCGCCTGGGCGCTGTCCCTCAGCTCTTCAGCTCAAGGTGAGAGCTCTACCACTTGAGCCATAGCACCACTTCTGGTTTTCTGATGGTTAATTGGAAATAAGAGTCTCATGGACTTTTCTGCCCCGGTTGGCTTTGAACAGTGATCCTCAGATCTCAGTCTCCTGAGTAGCTAGGATTACAGGCCACCTATATTTATGTCATCTGGACACCTATATTGATGACATCTGTACACAGATAATAAACTAAACACTCCTAGAAGGCAGTCATCTTCAAGTCCAAGAGAGGCCTCAGAAGAAACCAAACCTCATACATCCTGATGTTGACTTCCAGCTTCTAGAACCATGAGAAAATAAATTTCTACCTTTTAAGTCACCCAGCCTCTGTTATTGTGTTATAGCAACCCAAGCAAACTAGGAGTCTTCACTGAATGACAAGTTATGTTTACCAACTCAATCAGGAAGAACTGAGAGTGCTACGATACTGAGTCGTGGCTTTTAGGGTTTTTTCCCCCTCATCTTTTCAGCATTAAGATCAGTCTACAATGCTGGCACTGGTGGCTCACACTTATAATCCTAACTACTCAGAAGGCTGAGATCTGAAAAAGCCAGAAATGGCTCTGTGGCTCAAGTGGTAGAGCATTATCTTTGAAGGACAGTGCCCAGGCCCTGAGTTCAAGCCCCAGGACTGGCAAAAAATAAATAAATAAATAGATAAATAAATTAGTCTACATCATGTCAGGACTTGCAGCCAATTTTATATCTATCTGCTTAATATAAGTATTTTGAATGTTTACATCTTTCCAAATACTTAGAATTAGTACTTCAAAACTTTCTGCAAGCCCTGGGCCTAATCTAAATCTTGGACCTAGAAAATCTTTCTACTTAAAAAAGTAAGCTTATTATCGGGCCAAGCAAACAAAACTAGACAATTACAGGGCTGGAATGGTGGCTCAGTGGTAGAGTGCTTGCCTTGTAGGCATGAGGCCCTGGGTCTGATTCCTCAGCTCCACATAAGCAGAAAAAAGCCAGAAGTGGTACTGTGGCTCAAGTAGTAGTGCTAGCCTTGAGCTGAAGAGCTGAGGGACAGCATCCAGGCCCAGAATTCAGGTCCCATAACTGACTAAAATAAAAAAAAAAACTAGGCAATTACATGTGTTGTAACAGATTACAAAAAATATAACTTGAGCTGGAGCACCTGTGGCTCACACCTATAATCCCAGTTACTCAGGAGACTGAGAACTGAGGATCATGCTTCAAAGCCAGACCAGGCAAGAAAGTCCACGAGACTTATCTTCACTGAAGCACCAAAAAAGCCAGAAGTAGGGCTGTGGCTCAAGTGGTAGAGTGCTGCTATGCTTGAGCGCAAAAGCTCAGGCACAGCGCCCAGGCCCTGAGTTCAAGCTAGGACCCGCACAAACTAGGTATGTGTAATTTGAGGCCAAAGTGTATGCTTTGGAAAGACGTGTCAATTGTTTTTTGAGAGCTGAGAATGAAGAGGAAACATTATGGAAAGGTCTACCACCCACCTTGCTGTCCGTCTGGCATGGTCACGATGATGGGTTGCCCTATGCCACTGGTGGGGATAGAGTGCAAATTTCCCAGCTGAATTCCGTCGGTGACTATCGTGATGACTTGCTGGCCCCCCGAGCTAACCACTTGCTGAATTGCTCCATCGACAGATTCTGCGGTGACCACTTCCTCCGTGGCCACAACTGGAGTTAAAAAAAAAAAAAAAAAAATGGAAGGGAAATATCAGCAAAGACACTAAATAAGCGTGACCAGAAATTTACTTTTGCGTTCTCTGCTTCTTTCCTGCACAGAACAACTTTAACACAGTTTTGAAAGCAGGTCTTCATGGTGATGGCCATATCTATTAGATACAATTGGTAATCACTGAGTTCCAACGACCTTTTTATGACTATGTGGAAGAAAGCAATTTCTTTCAGTTGCACGAGGTATAAATATGACTAAGTCATGACAAAGGTTCTATCTGCCTAATGAAATTCCACAATTCAAAAGAGAACTTTGAATATGGTTCCATTCTATTCACATTCATACAGGAGTCAGCATATACCATAGTATCCCTTTTGGACTGACTGAACAAGGGTTGCTCTGATAAGCAGAACGCAGTTCTGGCACTATATGGCAGTGAAGAATGAATATATGAACATTTACATAAATAAAATCCCCAGGGGCTGGGAAGGTGGCTCAGTGGTAGAGCGCTTGCCTTGCATGCCTGAGGCCCTGGGTTTGATTCCTCAGTACCACATGAGCAAAAAGAAAAAAGCCGGAAGTGGCGCTGTGGCTCAAGTGGTAGAGCGCTAGCCTTGAGCTGAAGAGCTGAGGGACAGCGCCCAGGCCCAGAGTTCAGGCCTCACGACCAAAACCCCCCCCCCCCAAAAAAAAAATTATACTCTCTCCAATGAATGATCCAGTATATAATACTAGTATTACTATAAAATTATTTTGGTACTGATTCTGTCCCTGAATTTTTTCCTGCTCAAGACTGGTACTTTACCACTTAAGCCACAACTCTACTTCTATCTTAGAGATAAAAGTCTCATGGACTTTCCTGTAGGGCTGGCATTGAACCTTGATCTAGGCCAGCCTCTTGAGTAGCTAGGATTACAGGCATGAGCTACTAATGCCCTATTTGGACTGCCTTTTTTAAAAAAGCAAGGCACTCAATGGCAGCAAAGGGAGGGAGGGAATGAGAGGGAAAGAGGGAACAGCTGATACTAAGCAAAAGGAAAGAAATGTACATATAACCCAATGTGGAAGAAATAACTGTATTGTCAAAGCTCATAGAATTCACAAACTTTATAGACCACGATAAAGACAATTTGCCCCATGAAGGTTAGGATGTGTTTGTGTCTTTAACTAAGTATCCCTATCTCACAAGACTATGAAATTTGTGAAATTTATATAATCACTTAATCACAATTAAAAAAAAAAGCAAGGCGCATATGGGGACCTTGGTTTCCAACACATACTTTTGGCAACAGGATGGGCTTCAACTGTATGAAGATATTACCTGATAACCAAACATCACAATACAAGCTACTGAACACTCAAAATGCCAACCACCTTTGTGTTGAGAGCTTTTGTTATTCTTGTTTGCTATAAATTGTCACTGAGTTTTGCCACCAGGCACTTAAGAAAATTTCAGGAAGGCAATTATAAAAAGAAATGTGCAACATAAAACTATATGCACTAGCAACTACCAGGGCTTTCAAGCACATTAACTGTGGCTTTGATTTTAAAAAAAAATATCCATATGAAAAAGAAATGTTCGGTGGTCGAATGCTAACTTCAAGTAGTAATCTTTTAAGGCATGACCATATGGAACGTATTTCTGAGATCACACACAATCAAGGCACGACACAAGAACTTTCATCTTTGTATTATTAGCAATGGATGTCATTAAAATAAGAGAGTTCTTACCTTTCATCTACAAAGCTTTCTTTTTAAGTTATGCAATGTAAAGTATTTAAGAAAAAAATTAAAAAGAAACCAATTACAGAGAAGACAGAGTGGCCCCTCAGAAATGCTAAAGATCACCCCCAACAGTGAGGTGAGATGTTGAAACACGTAAGAATAGAGACCCTAAAAACTTGCAGATTTAAAATTGATACCAATATATTCTGTTTTCCCTCTGGATAAAAAGCAACTGTAATATCCTAAATATTTATTGGTCTAACTCAAAAGTTAGGTTACAATATATCTACGATCTTTTGTTTGTCATGATTTTTTAACTGAATACCACAAAACTAAAATAAGGCTGGGAAGAGAAGTATCTGTTTTACAAGTTTTTAAATTGTATGTAGATATAAACAAAAAACAGAAACTATGTTTATTGAATAAAAAGGAACATTTCAAAAGTATGCCTGCAATCATTAAATTGAAATTAAAATCAAGCAGCAGCAAAAACAAAAACCCACACATGGCCCAATAACTTAACGGTTAAAGTAACTTACATTTTATTACCTTATTTTAGGAAGGGACCAAAAAAACCAATACATAGAAGTACCTGATTCAGTTAAATGAAATGGCTTGAACTAAAGTAAGAAGTGTATTTCTTTTTTTTTTTTTTTTTTGCCAGACCTGGGGCTTGAACTCAGGGCCTGGGCACCGTCCCCGAGCTTCTTTTGTTCAAGGCTAGCACTCTACCATTTAGCCACAGGAACACTTTTGGCTTTTTCTGTGAATGTGATACTGAGGAATCAAATCCAGGGCTTCATGCATGCTAGGCAAGCACTCTACCACTAAACCACATTCCAGCCCAGAAGTGTATTTTTTTTTCCTTTTTTTTTGGTCGGTCGTGGGGGCTGAACTCTGGGCCTGGGCGCTGTCCCTTAGCTCTTAGCTCAAGGCTAGCGCTCTACCACTTGAGCCACAGTGCCACTTCAGGCTTTTTCTGCATATGTGGTGCTAAAGAATCTAACCCAGGGGCTTCATGCATGCAAGGCAAGCGCTCTACCACTGAGCCACCTTCCCAGCCAGAAGTATATTTCTTGAAAGGCTCCCTTCTCTTTCACTCCACATATGGGTATCACTGAGGTAGCCCAGGCTCTCTTAGAATTCGACGTACTCCTTGTTTCCCACTGAACTCTCCATCCTCCTGCCTTAGCCTCCTGAGTGCTGGGATTACAGGTATGCAACATGGCACCTAATTTGAGTTTTTGAAATTTTTTAATTAAAAACAATTTACTAATATAATAATTAAAGCAAATACTATTTTAGAGACTAGGCATCTTTTCTTTAATTCCAGCTACTAAGGAGGTGGAGATCAAGAGGATTAGACTTCAAGGTCAGCCTAGGCAAAAAGTTAGCAAAACCCAGGGCTGGGAAGGTGGCTCAGTGGTAGAGTGCTTGCCTTGCATGCTCGAGGCCCTGGGTTCCACTCCTCAGCACCACATAAGCAAAAAGAAAAAAGCTGGAAGTGGCGCTGTGGCTCAAGTGGTAGAGCACTAGCCTTGAGCTGAAGAGCTGAGGGACAGTGCTCAAGCCCAGAGTTCAGGCCCCATGACCGGACCCAAAAAAAAAAAAAGTTAGCAAAACCCTATCTTAACCAATAAGCTAGGCATGGGTCTCATGCCTGTGATCCCGGCTACCAGGGAGGTGTAAATGAAAGGATCGTGGTCTAGGCCACACACATGGACAGAAATGTAAAGCTCTATCTGAAAATACCAAAGCGAAAAAACTGATGGTAAAAATCCCAGCATCAGCCGGGCGCTGGTGGCTGACGCCTGGAATTCTAGCTACTCAGGAGGCTGAAATCTGAGGATCGCGGTTCAAAGCCAGCCCGGGCAGGAAAGTCTGTGAGACTCCTATCTCCAATAAACCACCAGAAAACCGGAAGTGGCGCTGTAGTTCCAATGGTAGAGTGCTCGCCTTGAGCTGAAGAGCTGAGGGACAGTGCCCAGGCCCAGAGTTCAAGCCCCACAATGGACAAAAAAAAAAAAAAAAAATCCCAGCATCACCAAAAATATAAAAGAAGAAAATTATTTTGGATAGGTATAATGTAAATCTTGTTATTGCTCTAATTGAATATCCAAAAATCAATTTATAAAAAAGCTCACATATATTTATTTACTTTTTTTTTAAAGGGGAGGGAGGGGGGCCAGATTTGATCAACAGACATTTTCTGTTCTGTTTTTAAATTTTAAATACTTGCCAAGACTTAATATTCTTGTTTGTATGTTGAGAATTTGTTTTGTGAAATAGGGTCTCACTATGTAGCCAAGGCTAGCCTGGAACTCTTGATCCCCTTGCCTCAGCCTCCCGAGTGCTGGAGGCATCTATGTGCACAGCCAGCTGAAATGTGCAACTTTTATCTTTTATTTTATTTTATTTCTTTTTGGGTCCGGTCGTGGGGCCTGAACTCTGGGCCTGGGTGCTGTCCCTCAGCTCTTCAGCTCAAGGCTAGCGCTCTACCACTCGAGCCACAGCGCCACTTCTGGCTTTTTTCTTTTTGCTTATGTGGTGCTGAGGAATCGAACCCAGGGCCTCAAGCATGCAAGGCAAGCACTCTACCACTGAGCCACCTTCCCAGCCCTGAAATGTGCAACTTTTAATAAACACATCTGGACTTGTTTTACTAACCTGGAGTTTCTGAAGAATTGGACAAGGGAGCAGATGCTTCTGCTAAGGCAGCTAATGTAGCTAATACTGATGTGGAAGAGTTTCCGAACTGAACGGCTGACACTCCCGTTTCATCTAGGAGAAAAGACAAAGTAGAGGAGTTTTCAAGGAGCTTGGCCCAAGGGCTCTTTCTCAGGTTCTAGTTTACCTCATTCAAGTCTTAAGGGAAGCTGGAATGGCTGTGTTAGTTTTTGAAAGGTAACAGTAGTACACTTTGCAATATGGCCTTTCTTTAGATTGTTTTATCTCATAGAAATGCCTCTGGCCAATACCAAAGAACACTAGAGTGGCTGCTATCATCTTACCCTCATTCTCCAATAGTCCTTTCTTTTGAAAGGCTGAATACCTACTGAGGCATGAAATGCCAACATCTATATCCTCTATACATCTCAATACCTGTGGTCTTGGATGAATTTTCTGAGGATACCAGACCTGTTAGGTTCACGACCCCTCCGGGGCCGATGATGAACTGTGGTGTTGCAGCATGGATGGTCACCGTGTCAGGACTCTCTGGGTTTGTGTTGATTTGGTTCTGCATTGCAATCTAAGGAAGAGATACCAGAGTGTTAGCAGAACCCCGGGGCACAGGTTCTCTACTGCAGCAGAAATACACACCCAGAGTGTATCCTCTAACAACCACATATCATTGTCTATGGAATACTGAGAGTGTAATGGTAGCACACGGGTATGAATTTAGAAGTGGCCCTGTGGCTCAGTGGGAGAGCACTAGCCTTGAGCACAAAGAGGGTCAGGGACAGCGCCCAGGCCCTGAGGTAAGCCCCACATCTAACCAAAAAAAAAAAGGATGAATTCATACCTTAAGGTTCCCCTACCCTACCCTCAGTGAGAGGTTTTTATAGAGCCCACTATCATTGGATACTTCGCTGCTCAGTAGCAACAGTAATTGTTTAAATTAAATTACTTTCTCTACTATATCAGGCAATATGTGATAATACTACATACATAAAGCATTAGCCTTTCCAATTAGTTCCTAGTCTTCAACCCGCTAGGTATAAAAGAATGAGAAAAAGTCAAACTCATTTTCCTAATATAACACATGTCCTCCATGAATTTCAATGAAGGTAAAGGATATTAGAGGAGAGAGCTCAGTCTCTTTTGGGGAAGAGGACAAGGAGATAGGTGAGAAGAACAGTAAACAAAAGAAGATAATTGATATCTATGTTATCTAGTTGAAGAAAAGAGAAGTATTGCTGCTTACTTAAAAAAAAACAAAAGTAGGGCTGGGATGTAGTTCAGTGGCAAAGTACTTGTCTAGCAAGTACAATGTCCTGGGTTCAATCCCCAGTACCAAAAAGAAAAGGGAAAAAAAAATTCTACAAATCTTTCTTTTTTCTTTTTAAGGATGGTAGAAAATAAAAGAAAGAAATCAGATGATAAAGACTATATCCCAGAGGCTGGGAATGTGATTCAGTAATAGTATGTTTTCCTAGCATGGACAAAGCCCTGGGTTGATTCCTCAGTACCACATAAACAGAAAAGCCCGGAAGTGGCACTGTGGCTCAAGTGGTACAGTGCTTTGAGCAAACGAAGTTCAGGGACAGTGCCCAGGTCCTGAGTTCAAGCCCCAGGGCTGGAAAAACAAACAAACAAAACAAAACAATCGTGAACCCTAATGAGCACAAGAAGTGAAAAGAAACAAAGTCTGTGCAAAAGAATTGAGTCCTAACTGCAGAGCCACTGGCTTTAAATCATGAAAGACAAGAGATCCATCCACCTTTTGTTTGTTTTCTGAAACTGAAAGCCAACTTACCTGTAAAATCTCTGCTAAATCTTCATTTCCATTGTCTATTGAAATATCAAATGCAGTTTTACAAAATTTACTTTGTGTGTGTACGTCAGCACCATATTTGATTAGAAGCTCCACCACTTCTTGATGATTGTGCTCTGTGGCCCAGTGCAGTGCAGTCATCTTCAACATGTCTTTTGCATTCACATCAGCACCATGCTGCAAAGGATTTCAAAGGGATGGATAAATACAACAAGAATGCCCGGTTGGACAATTTTTGCTTTAAAACAAGAACAGACAGTATAATTGGCTCCACATAACTAAAGAACATGAAACAATCCATTAATTTTATGTGGTTCCATGTTGAACACTATTTATAAATAATTATGTATTGATAAATATATTGGGTTAAATAGTAAAGTTAAGGTTTTTACTTTTGGGTATGTCAGCCAGGAAGAGAATCTAGAATAAAACATGGTTTGTATTTTTTGGCTTGCATTAGATGCGTTTATGATCTAAGAGAATAAGCAATAAATAATAATATAAATAACAAAATGATGTTGATCACTGTTTCAGGTGGTCCGCATCATCCTCTGGCATCTGGGTGACTAAAGCTAGGTTACTTGTAATTTATGTCATTTGATAACCTGCAAACCCTCCAAGCCTAATGCTGCCTTCCATGAGCATCTACACTGAAGACAAAGCTGCAGCCCCTCACCCAAAGGACTGTCTTTCCATTGTTTGACCAGATTTAAAGATACACACATAAAGGCCAGGCGCCCATGGCTCAAGCCTGTAACCCTAGCTACTCAGGAGGCTGAGATTTGAGGATTGTGGTTCAAAGCCAGCCCAGGCAGGAATGTCCATGAGACTCTTTTTTTTTTTTTTTTTTTTGGTTGGTCATGGGGCTTGAACTCTGGGCTTGGGTGCTGTCCCTTCAGCTCAAGGCGAGCGCTCTACTGCTTGAGCCACAGCTCCACTTCCAGTTTTCTAGTGGTTTATTGGAGATAAGAGTCTCACTGATGTTCCTGCCCGGGCTGGCTTTGAATGGCGATCTTCAGATCTCAGCCTCCTGAGTAGCTAGGATTACAGGCATGAGCCACGGTGCCCAGCCCATGAGACTTTTATCTCCAATTAACAACCAGAAAGCCAGAAGTGGCACTGTGAGTGATGGAGCGCTAGTCTTGGGCTGAAGAACTCAGAGACAGCACCCAGGCCCAGAGTTCAAGACCTACAACCAACCAAAAAAAAAAAAAAGAATACACATAAAGGAAGGTTCTTCCCCTCCTGACTGAAGTGTTAAAGATAAATTTTTTTTCTTTCTGGTCCTAGGACTTGAATTTAGGGCCTGAGTGCTGTCCTTGAGCTTCTTTAGCTCAAAGTTAGTGCTCTACCACTTCTAGCTCTTTTAGCAATTTATTGGAGATAAACTTCCCTGCCTCAGCTGCCTTCTAACCACAATCCTCAGGTCTCTGTCTTCTGAGTAGCTAGGATTATTGACATGAGCCACCAGTGCCTGGCTTGAAGGTAATTTTTTTATCTCATTGGACTTACGCACGCACGCACGCACGCACGCACGCACGCACACGAATATTTACAAAACACAAAGCAAGCACTCAGTAAAACTAGATCACCTCTTATAAAGTCTCTGTGGGGCTTAGTTTCAAACGCAGAGTATAGGTAGGCACAGTGGCTTATGCCTATAATCCTAGCTACTGGGGAGGCTGAGATCTCAGGATCACTGTTTGAAGCCAGCCCAGGCAGCAAAGTCTGTGAGACTCTCATCTCCAATTAATCAGTAAAAAAGCCAGAAGTGGAGTTGTAGCTAAAGTGGTAGATCACTAGCCTTGAGCAAAAGAAGCTCAGGAACAGCACCCAGGTCTAATGAGTTCAAGCTTCATGACTGGCTCCTCCCCTACCCCTACAAAAAAAAAAAAAAAAATAGTACAGAAAAAGAGAATACATACCTTAAGCAAGACCTCTACTATGCTGGCGTGGCCCTCTGAAGCTGCCATATGTAACGGTGTTCGGTCCACTTTGGTTCTGGCATCTCTACTTACACCAGCTCGGAGTAGTACCTCGGTGGTGGAGTAATGCCCATACTGTGCTGCCAGGTGAAGAGGAGATGTTCCCAGCTGTCCCAGAGAGAGAAATAAAATCCACACTTCGTGGTTACCCTTAATATACTTCTACTACTGCTGTTTCCATTATTGTCTATGGAAAAGCAATGCTGTATATATATATATATACACAACTCCAAAGAAATTAATTAATCCCTTGATTTAACCTGATTAAACATCTTCACAAGAAGCCTTTGAGAATTCCCATACATTTATTCATGAGGAAGAGATATTTCCTTTAATTCAAACATTTGTTACTTTATCTCAATATTTCAAACGTTAGTTTATTTCAATATTTCCTTTGACTCATATGCTAGTTAACTAGTTAATACAGGGTCATGCTGTATAGCCAAGGCAGGACTAGAACTCGAGATCTTTCTGCTTCACATTCTCAAGTGCTAGGATTATAGGTATGTACAACCTCATTATTTTTTTGTAGAGCAATGTTTATTAATGGTAATTAGCTGAAATGCAAATTTCTTTGCTTTTTAAAAGGAATTATATAATTCCCATCTCTTATTTTCTGAATTATAAATTCTATCTGTGCTATTTAAGACTGTTAAATTGAATCCAGAGTGGCTATATATTGATTATCCCATACGAATGTACTTTAAAATCTCAAACTCCAGCCTTGTTTTTCTTTTCTTTTTGCCAGTCCTTAAACTCAGGGCCTGAGCACTGTCCCTGAGCTCCTTTTTGCTCTGCCACTTGAGCACTACTTCTGGCCTTTTCTGAATATTTTTGGAGGTTAGAGTCTCACAGGAAACCCTGCTCAGTCTGGCTTCAAGTCGCAATCCTCAGCCTCCTGGGTAGCCAGGATTACAGATGTGAGTCACTGGTGCCTGGCTTAACAGTCCAATTTTTGTGGATAGAGTACTTGGCTAAAGATGTCTAATATCAAAGAAAATACTGACCATTCATTTCCTAATTATAAAACTTGAGAAGTAATTTTTTTTGTTTTTATCACTTATAAATATACTAAATTTGCATCTGAAAAAAAAATAAGAAAAAAAACAAAAAAATTTCAAAATTAAAGTCATTCTTTACCCAGTCTGTAGTAAAAGGAGCGCCATTTGCCATCAAAATACGAACTTCATCATCTTGACCTGCACGTGCCGCTTCTAAAAGCTTCTTTCCCAAATCTACCAGGGACATCTAAACAAAACAAGAGAAGGTGGACGTTAAAACCTCCAATTACATATTGTGACATGACTTTTATTAGTAAGTCCATTTTCAATTATTCCTTCCAGAGGCAAAAACTACAGATCACACAAAACCAACTGCTATTTGGATTATCTTTCTTTTTTTTTGGTCCGGTCATGGGGCCTGAACTCTGGGTCTGGGCGCTGTCCCTCAGCTCTTCAGCTCAAGGCTAGCACTCTACCACTTGAGCCACAGCGCCACTTCCGGCTTTTTCTTTTTGCTTATGTGGTGCTGAGGAATCGAACCCAGGGCCTCAGGCATGCAAGGCAAGCGCTCTACCACTGAGCCACCTTCCCAGCCCCTGGACTGTCTTTCTTTATAAGCATTTAACCTAGAATAAAATTGGTTTATAAAAGTCTTCAAGTACATCCAATAAAGACCACAGAGGCAAGTTAGCCGAGAAAAGCAGGTCTGGAAATAAAACTGACAACTAAATGGTTCTAAATGAAAGAGGTATAGTCATAAAATTTTTCATAGAAGAAGTAAATGAGGTCCAGGCTGGGCACTGATACCTAGTTCGTGCCTGTAATCCTAGCAACTCAGGAGGCTGAAATCTGAGGATTGCAGTTCAAAGCCAGCCCAAGCATGAACATCAGTGAGATTCTTTTTTTTTTTTTTTTCCCATCAGTGAGATTCCAGAAGTGACGATGTGGCTCAAGTGGTAGAGCACTACTCTTAAGTTGAAGAGCTCAGGGACAGTGCCCAAGCCCAGATTTCAAGCCCCACAACCCAAAAAAAAAAAAAGAAATAATAAATGAGGTTCAAAACACTGTCTTCTTTTATTGGCACAAATTAAATTAGAATAAGTCTATCTTAACTTTTTTTTTTTGTTTTTTTTTTTTTTTTGGGTCCAGTCGTGGGGCCTGAACTCTGGGCCTGGGGCGCTGTCCCTCAGCTCTTCAGCTCAAGGCTAGCGGTCTACCACTTGAGCCACAGCGCCACTTCCGGCTTTTTTCTTTTTGCTTATGTGGTGCTGAGGAATCGAACTCAGGGCCTCAGGCATGCAAGGCAAGCGCCTCTACCACTGAGCCACCTTCCCAGCCCTATCTTAACTTTTTTTTTGCAATAGTAAATGTATTGAGAATTTTAAAATACTAATTTTCTACACTTGGAGGACATGAAACATACACTTAAATTAACATTTTCCAGAAAGGGACACAATTCACATTCCATGAAAATACTCAGTCTAAAGATGCTATTGAATAAAGCACAGATCTCACTAGTAAGCCAGAATGAATATCTTCTGTCTATATAGATATTTAAAGAGACTAACCTAAATAATTTTAAAATGACTAGAAGAAATATTAATGTCTTAATTATATAAAATTAATTATATAAAATTAATATATAAAATATAATTATATAAAATAGCAAGAACCCAGTAAATTCACAGGGTGTTGGTGGTTCACACCTATAATCTGGGCTACTCAGGAGGTTGAGATCTGAGGATCATGGTTCAAAACCAGCCCAGGCAGAAAAATCTATGAGACAGCATATATATACCTGACATATATAATTTTTATAATATAAAGCATCTATACATAAGTCGGGTGCCAGTGGTTCAAGCCTGTAATCCTAGCTACTCAGGAGGCTGAGATCTGAGGATCACAGTTCAAAGCCAGCCTGGGCGGGAAAGTCCATGAGACTTTTATCTCCAATTAACCACCAGAAAACCAGAAGTGGCACTGTGGCTCAAGTGGTAGAGTGCTAGTCCTGAGCTGAAGAGCTCAGGGACAGCACCCAAGCCCAGAGTTCAAGCCCCAAGACTGACCAAAAAAAAAAAAAACAAAATAAAAAAAAAAAAGTATCTATAGGTAGGAAAATGCTCTATCACTTAATAGAACAAGCTGCAATAATTAAATTCGTTTTGAAGCTTTATAGCATAAAACATTTAGGTCATGTTATGAATAGAACCAATAAAACCAAAATTTTCATATCTGGACATGCAACGGAGCTGGGAATGTATTTCAATGGAAGAATACTTGTCTAGAATATGCAAGCAAGGCCCTGCTTTCGATCCCCAGCATTGCAAAAAACAAAAACATCAAAATATCAGCTGGGTACTATGGTTCACACATGTAATACCAGCACTAAGAAGGCTGAGCAAGGGGATTATGAGTTCAAGGCAGCCTGGGTTACATAGCAAGTTCCTGTCTCAAAATTTTAACTTAATTTAAAATATATATAAAACAAATGTTAGTTTATGTAATGTTACTACACTGCTTTCCTAATTTAAAATGTTTCTTGGGCTGGGAATACGGCTTAGTGGAGTTTGCCTAACATGCATGAAGCCCTGGGTTCAATTTCTTAGTACCAACACGGAAACAGAAAAAGCTGGAAGAGGTGTTGTAGCTCAAGTGGTAGAGTTCTAGCCTTGAATAAAAGAAGCTCCGGGATAGTTCCCAGGCCCTGAGTTCAAGCCTCAGGGAAAAAAAAAAGGGACTGGGAATGTGACTTAGTGGTAGAGTGCTTGCCTAGCATGCATGAAGCCCTGGGTTTGATTCCTCAATACCATATAAACGAAAAAGCCACAAAGTGGTGCTATGGCTCAAGTGGTAGAGTGCTAGACTTGAGCAAAAGAAGCTCGGGGACAGTGCCCAGGCCCTGAGTTAAAGCCACAGGACTGGCAAAAAATAAAATAAATAAATAAAATGTCTCTTTCTCAAAGGGACAAATTATGTCCCTTGTCCACTGCAATAACACAATGGATTTGAACAAATCAACTCCTCTAATTCTAGGATGCAAAATATATCACATTTGAGAATGCATACATGTCAGTTATTGTGATTTTAAAACTCCATGAGCAACATAGCTGTTTTATACTATAGATTAATATAGCAATGTTCTCAAATGGTAGCAGCACTGCCCCCTAGAGGACAGTTATGGAGGCATTTTGGGGGATTAAAGGTAGGGGGTCTCTCGATGGTTAAGTGTGGGAAATTTTAGAGGTCTAGCAACAGAACAATTTGGTGTGGAAAAGAACTGTCACATGTTCTGTATAATTTTTAATATCCATTGATGATATCTAAGACTAGATAGAATCCAATTAAGATGCAAGCAAAACGTATTTTTTCAGTTAATTTTTTTCTAGATATTCGTGAATGCCATAAATCTATGCTTTGTTGGGAATTTAGTACTAAGAGTATTTTAGTGTTAGCAATGTCAATGTCACTTCAGTATCTGCATCACTAACATAAGATCTTATCCATCAGTTGTAGGCTGGTATCCTATGGGGAAACTTGGTTCAGGACTCACTCAGGTACCAAGTCTGTGGATGTTCAGATGCCTTACACTGAGTGCTAGTATTATTTGCATATAATCTATGCACATCCTTTCAAACTTTAAGCCATCTCTAGACTACCAAAATACCTAATATAATGTATATGAATATAATGTGTATAAATAATTGTTTTAGGAAATGACAGAAGTCATTACATGTTAAAAAACATATCATCAGGGGCTGGGAAGGTGGCTCAGTGGTAGAGCGCTTGCCTTGCATGCATGAGGCCCTGGGTTCGATTCCTCAGCACCACATAAGCAGAAAAAAAAAGCCGGAAGTGGGGCTGTGGAGAGCTCAGGCCCAGAGCTCAGGCCCCACGACCAGACCCCCCCCCAAAAAAAAAACATATCATCATTTTTCATGCACTTTGAATGTGATTGGTTAGGATGTAGAACCTACAGACACAGGGGCCTAACCACACATACACACTGGTCTATATACAAATGCAAGCATATATTTACCTCACTAAATCACCTGGTACAGTCTGCTTTAGTATTTATGGATTTAATACACATTTTTGTAAGTTACATTCATGTTTGTAAATGATACGGACAGAAATCTTAACTGACTTTCCATTTCAAGTAGCAAAAGGGTCATATACAATTTTTTTTTAGTAAGATTGAAAATCAATAGACTAACATGATCAGGCAAAATCAAAATCAAACATGTTCTGGTTTTGTGTCAAGATTAATTAGCAAAGCTGAAAATAATGAAAGATGCCAAATTACAACAATTATTTCTTATTCTCACTTGAGAGGAACTTGTGAGTCTCAAGGAAACCGGGTACATTCAGACAGTAACACTAATCAAGGGGGGCCGAGCTGCAAGTCAAGTCTCCACGCCACTCAGCTTCATTCTATGTTAAATCCTCAGAGGTACAGCGCTAGATTTAAATAAAATCATCCAAATGGTTAGCGATAAGAACATTTCACTCTTAAGCATAGCAAATAACTTCTCCCCCATGAAACGAAGAAACATGAGGTAATTCAATAAATTGTAGTGGGTGTTGACAATGGTGAAAATACTATGCACTGATTTTAGTTTAATATTTGTCTTCTCCAGATGAAAACAGAAGCCAGTTCTGTTGATCCCTTTACTATTGATAAAAAGCTCCAAGTAAAACATCATTTAATGAGAGCCAAAAAGCAACTACAAAGTATCTGCTGCTGCTCATATATCCTTGCCCACAGGGCCATCTGGTGGCAACAGAGATCACTACCAGTATTTACATTTAAAGTCTATTCTGTTTAGAATTTTCTGAAATTTATAGCTCCTAGAGTAGTTGTGAGAATTATAGTACTGACTGAACATTAAAGCCAGATGTGGTTTGAAACCACCACAGGAAAACACTAGAAGATACAGGTAAAGGCAATTATTTTTGCAATAGGACTCCAACTGCCCAGGAGATAAGACAAATGGGATTAGATTAAATTAAAAAGTTTCCGCCCACTGAACAAAACTATTATTAAATCGGGGCGATGGTAGCTCACACCTGTAATCCTAGCTACTCAGGAAGCTGAGATCTGAGGACTGAAGTTCAAAGCCAGCCCAGGCAGGAAAGTCCATGAGACTCTTTATCTCCAATTAACCACCAGAAAACTGGAAGTGACGCTGTGGCTCAAGTGGTAGAGTGCTCACCTTGAGCTGAAGAGCTGAGGGACAGCGCCCAGGCCTAGAGTTCAAGCCCCATGACAAAAAAAAAATGCTACCAGAATTAAACAGCACCCAGAATGGAATAAAATCTTCACCAACTACTTTATTGATAAAGAACTACATAGAAGGCTAAGATCTGAGGATCACTGCTCATCCAGCCCTGGTAGGAAAGTTAGTGAGATTCTTATCTCCAATAAACTACCAAAAAAGCCAGAAAGGGAGCTGTAGATCAAGTGGTAGATCTTTGAGCAAAACAGCTCAGGGACAGGCACCAAGCCCTCAATTTATATCCCAGGACTGGCACACACAAAAAAATTACCTTCTAAAAATTATAGGTGAGCTGAGGACTGGTGGCTCACACTTGTAATCCTAGCTACTCAGGAGGCTGAGATCTGAGGATCTGAGGTTCAAAGCCAGCCTGGGCAGGTTAAGTCCGTGAAACTCTTACCTCCAATTAACCAGCAGAAAACCGGAAGTGGTGCTGTGGTTCAAGTGGTAGAGTGCTCACCTTGAGCTGAAGAGCTCAGGGACAGCGCCCAGGCCCAGAGTTCAGGCACTACAACCACCAACAACAATATATATAGTAGCCTTTGCCCTTGTAAGATTTTACATGTTCATCTAAAGATTAAGGAACTGATCGACTCGGACTGAACTAAATTTTCATTTTCAAAGTTCAAGCCCCACGACTGACCAAAAAACAAAAACAAAAACATGCATTTCCCCCTTTTCTCTCAAGGATCTCAAACTCACCCTCCTCTAGTCTTTCCCACTAATTGCCTTGGATCTCATAGATCATACTTTTCATATGAAATGAGCATACTACACACATACTATCTGCACGGAGCTTTGTAGCCCACTTAATTCATCTTTCTAATAGAAAAATACTATTTTATATCTGTACAGGGCTCAACTATGAGAAAAAATATCACAGTTCATTTTCAATTCTAAAAGAATGCTTTATATTTGTTTATTTTGTTGGTCAGGAGGCTTGAACTCAGTGCCTGAGCACTGTCCCATGCTTTTTTGGCTCAAGACTAGCACTCTACCACTTGAGCCACAGCACTACTTCCTGCTTTTTCTGTATATGGTGGTACTGAGGAATCAAACCTAGGGCTTCATGCATACTAGGCAAGCACTCTACCAATAAGCCACCTTCCCAGCCCAGAATACTTTATCTTTTACTCTGCGGAAGGGGAAGACCTCACCTTGCAGTATGAATCCTTCTATCAATTGTCCCAAACTCCAGCACAAACTCCTAATCTAGACAACCACATTTTAAACAATTCTCTTCCCATCTCCCCACCCTTCCCCCCACCCCAGGCACACACCTAACCCAAACCCAATCCTCCCCTCAGGCTATTTTCCCTCCTTAGAAAGGTTATATTCCCTTGTGCCCACCCTAGACTCAGGCCAGGCCCACTTTCAAATGATCTGTTCTTTAATATAGCTTAAGGAGTAATCCTTTCCTTTAACTTTTCCCAGCACTTGATTGGATGATAGGTATGTTTCTCCTGGAGGCATTAAGTATGTGGGTGGCATGGAGTTTATGTTCTGGGAGGAGAATGATGCATCAAAAAAGCAAACAAGTAGTAGCTAAATGTAGGGCAGGGTCTTGGAATGAGGATGGGGAATCACTATTACAGATCAAATGACCAGGGAAGCCTCTTAAGAGATTACTGAGGAGGGCTGGGAAGGTGGCTCAGTGGTAGAGCGCTTGTCTTGCATGCATGAGGCCCTGAGTTCGATTCCTCAGCACCACATAAGCAAAAAGAAAAAAGCCGGAAGTGGCGCTGTGGCTCAAGTGGTAGAGCGCTAGCCTTGAGCTGAAGAGCTGAGGGACAGCGCCCAGGCCCAGAGTTCAGGCCCCACGACCTGACCCAAAATTAAAAAAAAAAAATTAAAAAAGTAAAAAGATTACTGAGGAGACCCAAGGGAAGATGCCATGTCCAGGTTCCCTAGGTTCCCTCGCATTGCAAGCTCTGGGTGGAGCTGGGGAAACCTTTCTCCATTTATCTTGATGGTGATTATCAGGAGGTGGGCCTTTGGGAGGTTGAATAGATCATGAGAGCTCCAGCTTCGTGACTCGAAGTAGTGTCCTTGAAAAAGAGTGACAGAGTCCCTTCTACCATGGAAGGCCACGGGGAGCAAGCTCTATCTATAACGCAGGAACAGGTCCTCAAGACACAAGATCCGCCCGTTTCCTGGTCTTGGATCTCTCAGCCACCAGAACCATGAGAAATAAATTTCTGTTTCTGGTAAGCCACCTAGTTGATGGCACTTATGGTAAGCCAAGAGAGCTGATCACCAAGTTCTAAAATACATGAATTTCTGTCACTTGCAGTAACCTAGACACAACTAGAGGACATTAAGTCAAAAAGTCAGGGACAGTGAGACAAGTATCATACACAAAGAAGCAAAAGTTGGTCTCAAAGAACAGACAGTAGTACTTACAGAGCCTGGGAAAGTGTGGAGGAGGGAGGGAGGGTGCTGGAGTGCAGGCAGATAGGAGGAGGATGGATTTCTCAGTAGGGTAAAAGTTGCTGATGACAACTGATTGTACATTTCAAGGTAAGAGAATGGAGATGAATTCTGGATGTTTCCAACACAAATGAGGTCTGATGTAACTCTTATGCCAATTATCCTAATCTGATTGTTAGACATTTTATGTAAGTATTGAAATGCCAAAATATACCCCATAAATGTGTAATTATTATGTGTCAATTTTTAACACATTATTAATGAGGTTGAAAGGAATGTGTAGATTATAACAAAAGCAGTCCATAATTGAGTGGTTTTTTTTGTTTGTTTGTTTTTTGGTTGGTCGTGGGGCCTGAACTCTGGGCCTGGGCCCTGTCCTCAACACTTCAGCTCAAGACTAGCACGCTACCATTTGAGCCACAGCACCACTTCCGGCTTTTTCTGCTAATGTGGTGCTAAGGAATCAAACCTAGGGCCTCATGCATGCAAGGCAAGCACTCTACCACTGAGCCACCTTCCCAGCCCAGTTGAGTGTTTTTGTTGTTGTTTTGTTTTTGTCGGTGTTGGGGCTTGAACTCTGTGCTTGGGCACTATCCTTCAGCTCAAGGCAAGTGCTCTACCGCTTGAGCCACAGAGCCACTTCCGGTTTCCTGGTAGTTTATTGGAGATAAGAGTCTCCAGGAGGGGCTGGGAAGGTGGCTCTGTGGTAGAGCGCTTGCCTTGCATGCATGAGGCCCTGGGTTTTGATTCCCCAGCACCACATATGCAAAAAAAAAAAAAAAAAAAAGCCGGAAGTGGCGCTGTGGTTCAAGTGGTAGAGCGCTAGCCTTGAGCTGAAGAGATGAGGGACAGCGCCCAGGCCCAGCGTTCAGGCCCCACGACCGGACCTCCTCCCCCCCCCCCAAAAAAAAAGTCTCAAGGACTTTCCTTCCCAGGCTGGCTTTCAATTGTGATCCTCAGCTCTCAGCCTCCTGAGTAGCTAGGATTACAGGCGTGAGCCACCAGCCCACCAGCGCCCAGCTTGAGTGGATTTTTTAAAAAGTGGATAAACAACATAAATAGGTGCTTTTCAGACTACAAGTCACGACCTGTTAGCAGATATGTGATCATGTTTATTGGTAAATGCCAACTTTTTTTTTTTTTGCCAGTCCTAGGGCTTGAACTCAGGGCCCGGGTGCTATTCTTATCTTTTTCTCTCAAGGCTGGCACTTTGGAGCCACAGCTCCACTTCCAGCTTTTTGGTGATTAATTGGAAGTAAGAGTCTCATAGACTTTCCTGCTTGTGCTGACTTTGAACCATGATCCTCAGATCTCAGCCTCCTGAGTAGCTAGGACTACAGATTTAGTCACCAGGGCCCACCTTAAGCCAATATTTTTAAAACTATGAACCTGTATCAATCACTTACCATACAGACATGCATGCCAGTTTACAAAAGCATAGCAACATACACACACACACACACACACAATGACTGTTAAAATACATTCCTTAGAAGGGATTACAATAAAATGATATTTGGGGCTAGGAATGTAGCTCAGTAATAGAAAACTTGCCTAACGGGGCTGGGAAGGTGTCTCAGTGGTAGAGTGCTTGCCTGGCATACATGAGGACCCGGGTCAATTCCTCAGCACCACATAAGCAGATAAAGCAGGAAGTGGCGCTGTGGCTCAAGTGGTAGAGCGTTAGCCTTGAGTTGAAGAGCTGAGGGACAGCGCCCAGGCCCAGAATTCAGGCCCCATGAATGACCAAAA